CTCTCAAAAATAATAGTACATAAACGAATTTTTTTTTTAGGAATACTCGAAAATGCGTTTCCTTTTCAAGCACAGACAATGCCCTAACCTGAACCTGGTTTCGTTCGGCAGAGATCAGCTGAACTCCAACATCGACGATACTCGCGAAGCGTGGTTAACCAGCTAATGACAAAGCGACTTCTGAACCGCAACAGAACTAATCTCAAAACAATGATAGGGACAATTACGGGCCATTGTGTCCATAACAAACGCTCTTTTTTTGAAGGACCCTAAGTCCAATTGGTTCGGAAATACTTCAGTGGGCAGCTGGTTCCACATAGTGGTGGTGCGCGGCAAAAACTGCTTTAAAAATCGCTCAGTTGTGGAACGAACCAACTTATTCTTCGGACACGTATCTAGGCGTGGTGATAAGTCCATAGAAAGCCTTATCATCCAATGGATGGTGATAGGCACCGTGCGGAAGGTCACCTACGCGTTGGACTGACGAGATCAAGTCTGCCGTAGGAGATTCACTCAATCAGTGCAGCAGGATGACCTCTAATAGGCAACGATGGCTAAACGTCGTGAAGCGCATCACATCTGCCCCTTCTAATACTTAGAAGACCCGAACATAACTCTTGCCACTGGTTTCTTTTGAAGTGAAACTTCTTTAGGCGCATTCGAAGAAAAGGGAGCGAGTGATTCAGACCGATTGAGAAAGAGTGAGAAGGGTAAATAACGTTATAGGAATTCTATTTTATTAAATTAAATGTCGTAAAGAGAATTTATGAAATATTAGTATTTTGTGTTTTATGCAAAATAATTTATTGAAATCTTAAATGACGAATTGTAAATTATAATTAGTTTTTATAATCGAAGATATAAATTTAAATTTATTATTTGTATTAATTTTCGACACTTTTATTATTTAAATGACAATTATCTTCCTTTTTCCCTCCCTCTAAGTCTCGGAAATCTTAAGTTTTAGATTAGTATAAACATGAACAAGACTTAAAAATAATTTTGCCAAAGAAGTTTCACTTCTGACATGTGTACTTTGTTCGCACGCACTTCTTTATGAATAAAGACAGTTGACACCTTTACTCCGGCCAATTTAGACATTCGAAGGTACATTAAGTCCTAACAAGCTGAAAATCATTAAAATTGTTCAAAACCATAATTATAAATAATATTTAAAAGTTCCCCATCATTCCCGAAATTCTTTTATTCAATATTAAAGGTCAAAAAAAAATTCTTTTCCGTTTAAGTCACCACCAATTTAACGGTTTTATAAAGTGATAGTAATCATTATGACTGATAAACGCGAATAAATCAAGTCATTTCAAAAATTTCCGTATTAATCATTCTAAATATGTATAATAACTTGTGAAAATAATAGTTTCCTTATATCTTTCAGCGACATTCACTTGATATCGCGTTTTACATTACATGTGGCGACATCTCTGGTCAGAGGTGGATACTGTTATGAACAGCGGTGCCACGATTATTGTTATTATTATAGCCTCTTTATATCCATAGTGAATAATATATTAAGTATATCATATGATTAATTATTACATAATAATATTATGTGCATGCATTAAAAAATTACTAAATTACTATGTATGTATGTATTTATAATTCTTAAATTTAAATTCCAATCATCATTAATAATTTTAATGTATATAAATTTAAAATGATAAATAAATTAAAAATATTCAAAATCAAATTAATTTTTATAAATCATTATGAACCCCTTTGCGTTCTGTTTCTCTTTTGCTTTGGTGATCCAGTTTTCACCAGCTTTTCTTTTTACTTCTTCAATCCATTATTCCTTTGATCTACCTCTTAATCTTTTATTTGTTGCTCCTTGCCAGGTAGTAGTTACCCTTGGTGTCCTTGTCCATGCGCGAGATATGACCCGCCCAATTCCATATTTGGTTTTGAGAATATTCTAAAGCGTCTATTATTTTTGTTGTTGCGGTGGTTAAACATTCCAATATGGACCATCGATTTTTGAGGTTTTTGGGCGTGGCGGGGGGAGGGGAGGAAGGACTAAGTAATGAAAAAGATGATTTAAACTTCTGTGTAATGAATTCAAATTCGTAAACAAACCGTACATTTTCTATTGGTTATTAGAGATGTGACATTCTTGTTTTTATAGCATGAAAAATCGATGAATAAAAATAATCAATTTTTATATATCTATCGAATATTTCCTAATTTTTGAACTTTAAAGTTTTAGAATAATAACCCCCAACCACTTTCACGCGACAGTTATTTAAAACAAATATTAATATACTAATCTAACCTTAACGAACTAGATAATAATTGGTTTTTTGGACAGCTCCGGCGCTACGGGAAATGCAGCCCCTCCACCCTTGCGTACCAAAGCACAGGCATTTTATTCAAGCCTTTCCATTTCCTCCGCGCCTCCGATTTTTTATATACACTCTAGGGGTAGGGCCGACAAGACCACGTGGATAGTGGGGCGCTCTGATTCGGTTTTGGGTACTTTTTGGATATAAAATTTTGGCAATAAAATTAGTATGTCACTTTAAAGTATCGATATTTTCAAATTCTATGGAAAACTACACTAATTGAAACGTGAAGTGATTGACGTTTGACATCAGTTATTTGTCAAATTTATTATGTTATGGCGTGTTATTTGGTCATTCGTATGGGAAGTAAAAATAAATGTATCTCATGAACCGTAAGTTTACGCATTACGGCATTGAAATCCGTGGTCCATATTGGAAAGTTTATCCAGAATCTGTTGCACAGATTTAAAAAGACGTTGCTACTGACATTGCACTATCGACATCTTTATATATTCACAGAGTACACAGTAGGGATATTGGGTATCTTATGTTTTTATTGAAGTTATACTTCTTTAGGCGCGTTATGAAAAATTGATGAGAGTGAAATTTTACGATGCGCGCGCACCGTGACACAAAATTAACAGAATGAAGTTGCCCACGGAAGATGCTACGGCATTGGACATAATTTAAAAACAACATTCGAATAATAATAGAATTTATGTTACACTTAATGCAAGAGAATAATAATAAATATTTATTTATTTAATTTTTCAAATGTAAACTGAACTTTATTGACTATAATGACTCCTTTTCCAGTCTTTGATTATTTAATTGTAATTATTTGCATGCAATCAAAAACTATTTTTAATAATGCCAAAGAAGTATAACTTCTTACGCGCGTACATAAGTACACCCACCCTTTTTTATATACTGAGACATTTTCGTATTGGTTTAGTACTGTAAGTAGAGTGTATGTTTTGTGAACAATAAATTATACTTTTTTCTAAATCGAGATATTAAGTTGAATACACACAATACAAGTATAATATATTTTACAGACCTATACTAGAAGCTGCATTGTTCGGTTAGGTCCCAACACCTGGCGTTTCGCATTTTTATTATACATAATAACACACCCAAAGATTTATATATAGTTACATGATTGTAGACTTTTGACATTGACAGTTATCAATAGATACGATAGTAATATAGAAGTATCAAAATTTAATAACAGCAAAGAGGTTGATAAAAATTAATCGTAAATGTTGCTAAGCGTAACTCTTCGGTTGGACGAAATTTAGTATTTTTATTTATTCCTTGAACTCTAAAGAAGGCTCTTGTGAGGAGAAAATGTGGGAAAATTGTAGTGAAAAACCTAAAAACCAGTTTTTATTCGGTGTTCAATATGTTCAAAGTGTTCAATATGTTGGTATGTACTTAAAAGGTAGGCTAAGTAAAAATCATATTAAGGCGAAACGAAGTTCGCGGCACCTAGTAATGAATAAACTGACAAACATTATTCAGTAATAATTACGCTACAACCTTTTATAGCCTTAGATTTCTGTATCTGTTTCATGATCATTTGTCAATATAATAGGCAAATAGGTCCTGTTACCCTCGCCGTCGTGTTTTCCTTCACCGTTCGAATGTTAAATGCGCACAAAGACATTCCGTTCGTGCGCATCTAACCTACGACCTCAGGGATGAAAGTCGCACGCTGACACCACTAGGCCAACACTGCTCCACCACAGAGTTATATTTAAGTTAAATCTCTGTCGACTAATTTACTTTTCTTGATTATGAAAGAACGATATTCAAGAAAAGAGTTTCTATAATCAAACATTTGACTGATGTAAATTTGTTGTTGAAAAGAAATTTGTGAATTAAATTTTCCGTGGGAAATGTAAGTAATTTTATTAATAATATAATGTTGAATATGAGGGAACTTAGTGTGAGGACATGGAACTCACCTGCGTCAGCAAGCCATCACCATATATAAAACTTCCCCAGGCCTGAACCTAACACTGTCAACTGGCTGGCTGCACACCGGCCTGACTCCTGCTACTCCGTCTCTCGTATTATGAAGATGACAGTAAGTCAAATTAGCATGAACAATAGAAATATACTTGAAGTGATTAAATTAACATTAGGGAGTTTTCTTGCCTCATGAAACAGATACTTAGGAGCTAAATGGTTGTAGCGAGAATATTGTAATCAGGCAAAGGCTGATCACCTAATTGTCTATTATTATATATTATATATATATATTTATTTTATTTTATTTTATTTAGCAGCCTTAGTGATGACTGCTCTGTCATATTGTTTCAATGGGGTCAATTTTATTAAATCTTAAAAGTCGTATACCTACTAATATTATAAAGAGGAAAGATTTGATCCCATTCATTAGGCTCCAAAACTACAGGACTTTGAAAAATTATTTCCCCATTAGAACACTACTATGATGAACATACGCTATGTATTTAAAAAAAGTATAATCCGAATGAAAAAGACCAATAAAGATTCCTATATGCTGCGGAAACAACGTCACTATCTACAAAATAATCTTTTGCATTTAAAAGTCTATTAACTGAAAGCTTTAGGCTGCAAAACATTCGAAACGCAGACCACAGCTAATATACAATATAATGAACCCTTTTGTTCTGGTCTGTTGTCAGTACATCCCTCTGCCCCAAAGCTGAAATGGACAGTGACGGAATGGTGGCGGTTGTACGAGGTCTGGGCAACTCCGCCCTGACAGTTACGTTAGTTGATGGATGTAGACAATACACTCTGCAGCCTGAGGGTTATTCAATTCAATATATGTTCTTAGTCTAATTACGAATTCAACTAAGCGTCATTTAAAAAAGAGCGTACCAATTCTTCGCCTGCAACGCACTTGCAAGTTCTGATGACTGTCCATGGGTGGTATCACTTAACATCAGATGAGCCTCCTGCCTGTTTCAGTTGTATAAAAAAAGTTATTAAAATTTGGATTTCGTGGGACTCTCACTTCTGAGCACCAGTGGACTGGTGCACAGTTAACAGTCGTATAGTGAAGGAAACCTTAGACCCATGTGTCTCAGAAGGTTGAACACCTACTTGCCTATTAGATAATAAAGCCCAGGCTTTGAAGGTTGTAGCGCCACTGGTTAAGCTATTAATATTAATATTTGTAGATGAGATAAATTGTAGGTGTGGCTTCAGTGGAGTCGGAGAGGATTCCTGGCACAAATCCAATTTGTAACTAGAAATTAAATATACAAGAACATGTTTTTGATGGTTTTAGCCACCAATGAAACGCGACAAACATCAGCGCAGTGTCATGACGCAGTTCGCAGTGACAGCTGTGCCCAAGCCACTGACGGCAGATATGCCAGCACATATAGGGTACAAAATTTATTTATTTCCCACATATTTTTTGTATGCCAGTGCACAATCAAATAGAGACTACCTAGATAAAAAATGGAAAACTTATATTTATTTATTTATTCATAAAAATACATAAATTATCCCTACTGTACTTACTACTAAGCCAATACAATAATTGATAAGTTTTGAAGTAAAACTTCTTCAAGCGCGACTAGGGAGTCCGATTTTTCCGATTTATAGTCGTATGTAGTTTCCGCTATTTAAAAATAACAACGATAGCGCGTTTTATTATTCCGTCAGCGGCATCTAGCGGTGCATTTGAACTGATTTAAGTCAGATTCTTGGTAGTGTTTATTTAGGATAGCATTCACTCGTTTAATTTAATACTGATTATTGTAATTATTTTATTATTAGTATATTTATATTTAAAATGAAAATCCATACTAGTAACATGTAACCAAATTAAAATTCCACTAAAGAGGGAAAGTTCCCATCCTAGCTTGCTTTTCTTTTGTTATACATACGGCCAGTTTTTTCGCTTAGTTTCGTATTTTACCATTTTGGAAGAAGTAAAAATTATACCAAATTAATTATCCTAAAAATCTGGTCTATTTCATTTAAAAATAACAAAGTTGTATAAGAGAATAGCAAAGTGAATAAAAAACATTCAACCGTTTAAAAAAAAAATTTTAATTGCAAAGTTTTTTCATACGGTTAAGACCTTACCTTAAAACAGCATCAAATTTATTTTTATCGTTCTTTACGACTTAATATGCGCATGGCTTTGGACCCCTTAAAAATATTACTAAAAATGATTAAAACGGGTGGCGCAAAAGTAGTGGCACTAAAGAATTTTTTTTTTATATGACGATAGGTTTCATTCTGTTGTTGAAAATTGATAATGAACAAATGTAAAATACACTGAAAATAAACATGGACCGTTTTACTCCCCAAGAACGTGTAATGATCGTGTCAATGTTCTTTCGGAATATTTCATCAGTGATAAAAACACAACGTGAATTTCGTCGACGATTTCCTGCAAGATCACCCGATCTGACGAGTCCAGACTTCTTTCTTTGGGGTTTGTTGAAATCTCGGGTGTATGTGATCAAGCCACAGACTCTCGCAGCTCTAAAAGAAAACATTCATCAAGAAATAAGGAACATATCGCAGGAAGTATTACGGCAACTTGTACAAAATGTCATAAATAGGGCTCAAATGTGCATCAACTCTGGAGGTCACCATTTAAAAGACATCATCTTTAAATCCTAATGGTATGAAATTTAATGGCACAAATATGGTACATTTAAAAAAACCTAAATCTAGTTTTCTAATTTAGAAAAAATGTTATAGCTGAACCAAATAGGGTCTTTACTTTTGCGCCACCCAGTATATGCATGATGTAAATGATATTGTCTCAGTTCCCAGTGTAGTACTTTAGCTTCGTTCTGTGGGGTTAAAGAGCATGCACCACCACATTATTGCATGGTTCACCATTGCCGAGTGATGAAAATATGCAGAACAAAATTTGGAGCAATAATGTCGAAAAAAAAAGGAAATTATAATGAATTATATAATATTAAATACATAGTTTTGTAGTGCATTTTGAAATCTTATTTACAGTAAAATTTTTAGATGACGCATTGTCACGTGAACCCGACGTCGCCCCAGATAGAGGTGACAGAGTTCCCACCACAACGAGCTGAATTATGTCCAGGTTAATTTAAATCATATCATTTTTAACACCAAATATTTAACTAAATATTGTCTCCCAGAAGAGCGGTACGCACGAACTGCGTCCACAATTTGCAGTTAAGTTATGGTACTTAACCAATTCTTAAAATGCACTTGTGAGCCCTCTGGCATTGAGTGTCTCTGGGGGCCATATCACATAACATCGGGAGAGCCTCCTGCCCGTTTGCCCCACGGTATACGTATAAGGAAAAGGATTATGGTAATCCTTTGTTACGTTACGAGGACGTTGAAAAATAAGTGACGATGGAAGGGACACCTTGCGAAGAGCTAATGGACAAATCTTTGTTTTTAATTTATTTTATTATTATTTATTACTTATGGTAGGGGAGCCCAAGAGGGGATTTCGGGATTTACTAAAGCGCGGCAGATTAATATACAGGGGGATAGCTTGTACTCGGTTAAGTACCTCCACAAAACATGAGGTCCATATATAAGGCCGCCTGTGAAGGAGACAGGATCAGATTAGTAAAAAAAAATTGACCATCAGAAATTCCCGAGCGCATCAGATTAAGGTAGGGTGAGTTAATTACATCCTAAAAAGTGTATATTCCACTAATCTGACAATTTGAGAGTGACGGAAAAAAAGGGGAGGGCAACAAAGTTGTAAAAAAAAAACGTCATCTCGACATTCGCGAGCGTAGCTAATTTTTTTTTTATTTTGAAGGAAATAATTCAAGAATAATGAAAAATATATAATCTGACGATTTCCGCAAGCCGAAATAACAAAAATTCGTCGATAAAGTTAAATGCGTGCAGCTGCGTGATGCCTACATTTCCTTAAACCGATCGGAATCTACTTAACGGCGTTCTAAATATTTCCCTCAAAATTACATTTCCTGTGAATTTGAACCGATTCGAAACGATAGATTTTGAGAAATTTTGAAAAAATCTTAAAAAAATTAAGAAATATTTTTTTTTAAAGTGGTTTCTTTATCGATCAACTTCAAAAACTAATCCGCCTTTGAGCTTGAAAAACCACGTTGATCGCCACTAAGCTGGTCAAAAGCGGTTGATTCGTTCGAGAGATATCGTGAACGAAAGAAACCCGAAAAAGTGTTTATTCGGGATTACTCCGAAATTTGTGGTTCGATCAATTAAAATTGCAAAATTACTTATGAGGATGATAAAACTGCGTCGAATGCCGCCAACCGCGTGAAAATTGCTTGATCCATTCAAATGTTATTGCGGTTTGAAAATTCCAAAAATAGTGTTCTATGAAACTTCTATCAGACTTTCGAGCTGGGAGAGCTCAAATGCATAGAAATTTATTTCTTTGAACTCAGCGAGGTCAAAATATCAATTTTAAGCGCCCAGGAATGGAATTAGCGGGAAGTTGCAGGGATGGCCCTTTAGGTGAACCGTTTTTCTAAATTTTTTTTGTCAGATCAGGCGAATCCCTCTAGATAATCGTCAGATTATGAGACAGTACGTTTAGAACATAAAGATGAACCACATATATCTTAATCTGACGCGCTTGAGTATTTCAAAATTGCGATTTTTTTTTGCAAATTATGAAAATGGCTGTGGGTTTGCGTCCCATCGAAATCGTCAGATTAGTGAATGAGAGCTTTTTTTTGGTGCACTTAACACTCCCTTAGAAAATCTGACGCGCTCGATAAAATTATTTTTTTTTTCATTTTCAACCCTTAAATACAACCACCCGCATCATGCAAACGATCAGATTAACATACGTACATTATTAAAAATACGTAGGGCATAGATGCTATCAATATCTGACGCGCTCGAGGATGTCCATGCAACAGTTTTTTTTTACATATTTAACTATCTATAGCCGCTTCCCCCACCGATGAAAAGGAATTTATCATATAACATTTTTTTCTTCTTATTATCTAAGCTTTGCATCCCAATAGGTCTCTACGACGCTCGAGTAAATCCCCATTTAGCATCGTGGGCTCCCCTACCATTAAGATGTCATTTAGAACATGGTGTAATAAAAAAAAACTGGATCCCCACTTGCTACGGTGACCTGACCTCGCGTTATCCACGCTTGACATCCACCATGCTCGTCCGTTAAGGGAACTTTTAATCCCTTTTAATTTCAGGTCAAGGCAATTTTGAAATTGGTGGTAACGGCAGTGGTGAGAAGTACCACGCAAAGAAGTCAACCACATTCAGGGGCGGGATGAGTTGGCCTGATAAAGGTAGGTTTATGGACTAAGACAATTTTGATGGACTTTGTTGTAAAGTTATCTTTATTAATGTTTTTTATGAAATCATCGTAATACGAGAATATTCATTATAAAGAAGATCCCTCTCCAGTAGGCAGCTCACGTCTAAGCGTCGTGGTCAGCTAGGAAGCGGACTATCTGTTTCCATCGGCTTCTGCCCAGCACCTCTTTTATGCCATTGTCTAGTTTTAAGTAGGGTGATCTTTTGCCTTCCGTGTTACGAATCAATTACCGGGTGTCAGGCACAGACGGCTGATCACATACTAGCCTATTAGATTGACAAATGATCAAGAAATGAATACAGAAACCTGAGATCCAGCCCTAAAGTACACGAAATTCGTTTCCAGGTTCAGTATTCGCATCTCGTCCCTCTGTGCAGCCGGACTCGTTCGCCAGTTCACTTCGGAAATATCCGAGTATGTCTCCTGAGAGGTCTTCAGAGATTTTGGAGCGATTAGTCTCTTTTGCACAGAATAGAAGTGGTAAGCAGCTCCATTAAAAAAAACATCATAATTTGTGTTTCAGTGTTTGACGGCCTCATTGTTCTAATGTCTTTGACTGGAGATCATGGTTCGATTCCCGGGCCATAGAGAAACAATAATTATTGTAGGCTCTAAGTTCAACAGGTGGATCCAACTAAAAATCCAACTTCCCATTTTTACAGTAACTTAATACTAATACAATAGAAAACTAACGTAAAACATAATATAAACATAACAAGTAAAAACTTAAAAACCTAAACCATTTTATAACTAATTATAAATAATGCAATTCTTGTGAATTCAGCCAGTGGGCAACTAAATATATCCGTCTCACAAGCAATAGTGTTTAGGGTGCGCAAAACACGCGTAAGGTGCTTCTCTAAGTAAGTTCGTACGCGCCCGAGGCGCTGCCAGCAATTGCGACCGCCTACCCCGCCGAGCGTGGTTATTTGGCACACGCAGCCCCAGTCTTTCCAACATTTCCGCATTATAGATTTTACCTCTAAGGATCTTAAAAAAATATACCGTGATAGTAAGGTCCCTCCTTATCTCTAACTTGTTGTATCCAACCATGCCCAAGACAAACAAAGTTGGATACATTATTGGGTAAAATGGGTACACTCCATACAATCTCATGTATATGTATCTCATAAATTTATTTTGAATACGCTCCACCATTAGAGAATATTTTTTTCTTGTGGGGCCCAAATCATAGAGTTACATTCCAAGTGGCTCCTAACAAGTGCCATTACCGCTTTTATATTTGTCAAACCTTTGGCCATACGCAAAATAAACCCTAAATTCCTATAAGCTTTTCTACAAATTATTTTTATGTTATCCCGAAAATTTAATTCCACGTTTAGATGAACCCCTAGGTCTTTTACTTCGGCTACTCTTGGAATTGGCTGTTTCTCAATGTTATAATTATAGAGAATCGGTGTCTGTGCTCTGGAAAAAGAAATAACAGCACATTTTGCAGAATTAAGCTGCAGTCGATTTTTCCTGCACCAATTTACTACTCGATCAATATCCTGCTGTAATCGTAGACAATCCTCCGTGCTATTAATCGGCCGTGATAACTTAATCATCCGCGAACATCAAACATTTTGCCTCTTCTACTACCCCTGGTAGATCATTTACCATTAACAAAAATTCTAAAGGTACTAAAGGTCCTAAATTGCATTTATAGTTATTACCATGCGGATAGAAATATTTTTCTATGAGAATTTTACTGTAGTCATAAAATAATTCATGTATCAACCTACAAAATAGAATAAATAAAAAAAATCGCTAGTACAATACATATTCGGGTTACATTAAGTATAATATGGAACACGACCTTCCTGGTTAAATTAATTTATATTAAACATAGTTGCATTGTTTAGTTTTTAATCAATTTAATTAGGTAGCAGTTATATCTCATTGACATGGGGTCGTTGACCTTAGTATGTCTTTGGACTTAGGGTCATTGACCTTTAAATGTCACTCCCTTCTGAACTTCCAAATATAATACAATTTGACTTTTTAGGTAAAAAAGAATATGGTTTAAAACTCTTCTGTTCAGTGTATTTGCGGTGTTTGTCTGTGGAATATATATATTTATTTATTTATTTAAAGGAAACTATATTTTTATCCAGGCATCAAATCCAAATCGTCATCACCAACGCGCACCGTTGAGTCGGACAGTCAAAACATCAGTTTGGAATCTCGAAGGAAACAAGTACCCGACCCTGAAATTAATCTTAGGAGACGGTATGTGTGACTTTGACTTGTTTAAGCTATCTGATGCTTAAGGAGTATTTAGAATATCCATAGCGATCATCTGCATCATGAGAACACCCCCACGTACACACCCTCACTTTTACACCATCACATTACACAACTGATGTATTACATAGTTTAGTGTTAAATATTTTTTATTGATTTTTTCCTTTCGTAAATGAATCTTTTTGTACATTATGTATTCCATCTTTCGTTATAAGCTTAGTATAATTTAATTATATAATATATATATCTTAGCTGTAGAATTACGAAATAAAAATAAATGACCCGTCAATAAAACATCTAATAACACTTGCCCATACAAGACCGGAATGTCTTGGGCAACATACACAAATTGGGGAATTGTAATATATTCTTTATAAAGATTACGGACCAAACGGACGAGGAGAAAGCTCATCTGATGTTAGTGATACTGCCCATGGACACTCAATGCCAGAGGGCTCGCAATTGCCAGCATTTTACGAATTGGTGCGCTCTTTGAAGAACCCTTAGTCTTATTGATTTGGAAATACTTCAGAGGGCTGGTTCCACATAGTCTTAGGGGCACCAAAACTCTCAGTGGTGGTACGGATGTCAAGGTGATAAGTGATAATAGGACAAGGAAAAAGTAAGGTTATATTACTATTTCCAGCACAGAAGAGTCGCCAACAAGAGATGGTAGAAGAGAAGAGTCGTGGCGAAGAAATACATTTTGTAGAAGCCATGATATCAGATATTTAAGAGAAGTTACCAAAGCTGTTAGAGAAGGGATACGATCGCATGTGAGTCATTTCGGAACCTTTTTAAGAAAAATGTCGGGTCAGTGCTTCCAGCTCTTCCATAATAATAAATAATCAGTGGCGCTACAACCTTTTTTCTTAGGTCTGGGCCTCAGAATTCTGTATCTGTTTCATGATCATTCGTCAATCTAATAGGCAAGTAGGTGATCAGCCTCCCGTAACACGCCGACTTGGCTCTTAGGTTTCCTCACGATATTTTCCTTCGTACCAGTGAATGTAATGCGCACATAGAAAGTCAATTGGTGCACAGCCGTGGCTCTCCCTTTCAGGAATGAGAGACACGCTGGAGCCACTTGGCCAACACTACTCTCAGCTCTTCCATAATAAAGTTAATATGTAAGAGATTATGTATAAAGAAAATTATTGTTTTATTAGAATGGCAACACCAAACATTACAGGTTGTAAATTGTAAATGTCAAAGTCAAAGTCAGTTATGCGTCGAATAATTGGTTCAATAAATTAGCATCTGCTGGCTAGGCGTACAATAGGCATCTCACTTGATCAGGTGGCATTGGGGCCAGACATCTGTCCAGTTTTGTATATAAAAAAAAGGAATCGATGTTTGAGTTCAGTTGCTCTCAGACAATAACTTGGCAAATGTTAATCGAAGCTGCGACATGTATATGTCGCCGGCCTTTAAATAACAATAAATATTATATGTAACGCGGAATCGATTTACTTACAAATCTAGCTATCGTGTTTTGGAATATTTTTGTTTTCAGAATTATCCAGAAAGATTGATTCCAAAACGCGACACTACCCCGGAAAGAAAAAACGCAAAGGTACTTTTTACTGTACAGTGGTATCTCGACATACGAGCTTTCGTTCCGTTACATTTCTCGTATCTTAAAGCAATTTTCCCCATTGAAATAATTCCGTTTCAGCACTCAAAACACCACCTCATTTACGGGATGATAAGAAAATGATTTTTTAATGCAATAGGAAGCAAACGGGCAGGAGGCTCACCCGATGTTAAGTGATACCGCCGGCCACGAACACTCACATTGCCAGAAGGCTCGTAAGTGCGATGCCGGCCCTTTAAGAATTGGTACGCTCCTTTCTTAAAGGACCCTTAGTCGTAATGGTTCGGAAGTACTTTAGTGGTTCCACATAGTGGTGGTGCGCGGCCTTAAAAAACGCTCAGTTGTGGATGGTACGTCGTGGTGATACGGATGGTATTATGTATTCTGCCTTGACGTCACTCCTCTGAACACTCCATGGTAAACGCCAAGGGATCAAGCCGCTCGGATAGTGATTGATAGTCGACGATTCGAATCGCGGATTTCACGCTTTAATGCAATAGACATCATCTTCGGACCCATGGTTATAAAAATAAATGTGATGTTGTTACTTGAGTTATCAAAAATACTTCGAAAAAAGCAGACTTAGTGGTAGAAACTGCAGTGTGCGATCCTCCAAATCTTGCTCTCATATCAAGACTCGTATATCGAGGTACCACTGTATTTTGAAAACTTATTTTTTAATACAGTTGCTCAAAAAGTGGCGTATTGCAGGGACGAATAGCGTTCGGGATGTGGGCTATTACACACTCGTGCTTTTTTTTTACCTTTTCCGAACTAGTGCGTTTTCTTTCCCAACTGTCAAAATAATGTCTATTAAAAAGAAAAAACCAACCACCCGAGCCGAGGCGCAGCCGAAGGTGAGGGTTGACAGTCGGAACAAGTTGCGATGACGGTTCCGCACGTGTACTGAACAACTATTTTTAATACAGTTGCGAAAAAATTATGCAATTTAATAAAAAAACAATAAACTCAACTCACTAATCATTTATTTCTTATTCTACAAATTATTGTTCACATATACATTGGTACAGTTTTTTATACTAACTGGAGAAGTTTTAGGTTGCATATTTATTTACTGTTTGAGACAAACTATTATTTATTTCGTATGATTTTTCATGTATATTTAATATATAATATAACAAACAATTAAACGCGCAAAGAACATTTTTGGAAAATGGCGCCAACCGTAAAAGAATATAAGCAGATTTTTTTTTTCTTCACCCATTCTGGGTAGGCAAAGGGCACTATGCCCATACAGCCAAGTCTTCAGTACAATTTTTATTGATATGAAATGAAATTTAAGGAGATGAAATGAAATCTAACCTAACTCATTGAATCAAATCATTAAATCTTATATTGAAACAAAGCAGTAGCTTCTTTTTAGAAATATTTGCATGAATCATAAAAATTTTCTATGAATTTTTTTAGTCAAAACTTCGTGGTTGGTTTTTTCTTTTTAATAGACATTATTTTGACAGTTGGGAAAGAAAACGCACTAGTTCGGAAAAGGTAAAAAAAAGCACGAGTGTGTAATAGCCCACATCCCGAACGCTATACGTCCCTGCAATACGCCACTTTTTGAGCAACTGTATTAAAAAACAAATTTCAAATGTATTATTTACGTTTCCATATTCACTTTGATGATTCTATCGGGCTTATACATTTTTTTAAATATTATTTAATTTTTTTCAGACTCGAAATTCTGTGAATATGGAAATACAAGGTAAAAAAGTTGTCGTATTTTGATATTTTTTTGTATGTAGAGAATTTTCGGAACCTAACAGATAGAGAATAGATGAATTATAGCGTATTTATAGTTTTAGTAAGTATTATAAGTAATAAAATATATCTCAGTTCTAACCATGTAGAATTTGCCATGGGGAGTGTTCAGAAGAGGTTTGTGGATAATCGGACGTCCGACGTTTCACAACTGAGCGTTTAGAGGCAGTCTCTGGGCCCCACCACTATGTGGAATTCGATTCGACTTAGGGTCCTTCAAGGAGCGTACTCTCAAATACCGGCGATGTACTAGCGAACCTTCTGGCATTTAGAGTGTACATAGATGACAGGCAATCCGAACCAATTCGACGTAGGGTGCTCTGATAGTGTCCATAGGAGGTATAACTTAACATCAGGTGAGCCTCCTGCCCTTTTGCCCCCTGTTCTATATAAAAATGAACGTCCTGTCAGTGTACCAATGAATTGATAGCTATAGAACAGACGTGTTTTACCCAAGCGACATTAGTCAAGCACAAGGCTGATCACCTACTTACCTAAAGAAGCAGATACAGCCTGATACTATTTAGGCATGTAGCGCCAATGGTTATAATGACAATTGAAAAGAAAAGCGTTTTAAATGGATGATATCACTGTTATTGTTGTCTATTTTAGCCGCAGTACAAATGGTCTCCCGTGAAGTAATCACTTTGCCGACCAAAAAGCCATCTCAAAGAAATGTGAGTATAATAAACATACATCAAAACACAATCCTATCTTAACAGGTGACCCTACATCGACAAGAATGAAATAAAAAACCAAGAAATAAGAAATGAATGGAAAAATCCAAAAAAACATTTAAAAATGTTTAAATAATAAAACTTTGGTCAGATCACTCAACTCGTTAACTGAAGTAACAGGAAATCATTTGTGCCGTTTCGATTCGTCTTAGCACAATAAACCTTCTGCCGCACCCATCAGGCACTAAGCTCACTGTAGTACTTCTCGGCGTACTCCTAGCTCGTTGTACGCCACTTTAATTACATACTGTTAAAAAATTACATAACAAACGTTAGTTATTGTTATTTTCATAGACCCCTTTTGGGTAAAGGCCTCCTCCTGAACTTTCTATTCGGATCTGTACTTTAGTACTCTCCATTTCTCCCCAGAAACCTTAACTATGTCATCAGCCCGTCGCTTTTGCGGTCTTCCCACGTTTCATTTTGCTGGAGGGAACTCCAGCAGGTGGCTTTGGCGGTCCAACTTTTATCTGTGTACCTTGAAATATGGCCTGCCCATTCCATTCCAGCTGTAAGAAGCTCGTCTCAGTGATCTTAGTTTTCGCGCTGATGTGGTCACTTCGAATTTTGTGAATATATAGAACTACAAACTCTTGCTTAAAAGAGTAAGAATGAAATTGGATAAATGTTAAATTCTCTTTACAGATAGCGATATCACAAACGCCATCCATGTCAGACGACCCAGAAGGTAATCAAGAATACTCAAAACACATTCAAACAAAACCTTATAATATAAATCGCGTTAAAAGGAGTCTATCAGACGAAGAAGTTAGAAGAGATGATTTACATAAAAACATCGGATATAAAAAGTTTAAGAATTACAGACCAAATTTAAGCAATATTTTCTATACAGAAGTAACTAAAACACTTGACGAAGATTTTGCAGAAATTTTAGATGATTGGCTCAGTATTATTCCTTTAAAACCTATAGATTACTTCGGAAGACAGATAGACAAGGAATATATTTTTTATGATTTATTTGAACGGTTGAAGAAGACGTCAAGTAGCTTACCAGAGCATAATAGAAGAGAGAAGATAAAAAATGATGTTATTGAACTTCTGAATGAGTATCCGGTAGATTTCAAAGGAAATAAACTAAAGTTTTTCAGTAAATTGGCGGATATACTTATAGATAAAATTAAAAATTTACGCAGAAATGTACGAAGCAGTTTGAATAGCTTGTATGATTTCCCTATAATGAAGAAAAGATATATTCCGCCAACGGAAAGTGAATTACGAAGTTTTTTGGTTTTAGAAGTTGAGACATTTGTCAAAAGAGTGGGTTTAATGCTTGGCAGGTATACATTGCTTGCTTTAGAAGAAGAGTTATTAGATATATTAATAGTATTTATGGAAAATCTTCATTCAAGCGATGACGAGTCGTTCAAACAAGATGTTATTGCTACAGTTGTTGATCACGGATTTTCGGAACTTCAAGCAGTGCGATTTGCACAAGTTTTATTAAGACATCTCAAAGAAACATTTATTAATACAGAGAAAACTAGACCGGGGTTGGTGGTTATGCCTAGTTTGGTAACACGTAATAAAACCCAGTCAGATTCACTAGAAGAATACCATAAACAGCTTTGTGAGCAAATCAATGAATGGCTTACCTCTTTAGAAGCAATATTGCCACGGATTAATGAAAGGGGATTCAGACAAGTAGTAGTCAATGATTTAGCAGGAGATATTATAGACAGACATAAGTATTTAGAAATGAATCCTTCGACTTCGGAAAATGAGTTGGAGTACTTGAAATATCAAATCTTCAAATGGATAAATAAACTTGCAAATGAAGACACGTTACGGCCAAGTGAACATGCCCCGGATTTAATGAGGAGAATTCAAAATATTCCCATACCGATATCGAGGTTTAGTCACACTCAAACAAATCAATCTCTCGTTTGTCCGGAAGAATCGTGCTCAATGCAAACTATAGAACCATACAGAAATGAACTCAACGCTACCAGGACGAATGCAAATATTAAAACTGCAAGTCTAGAAACACCTAAAACCCCGAATAATTTAATGTCAAAGATTGATAGAATAAACAATGACTATGAGCAGTTTGTGAGGGAGTGGGTTCTAAAGATACCTATTCAAACGTCAACACCTGAAGAAGCCGCTTTAGCGGAAAAGGCAAGATTGGGAATTAACAACGGTCTCTGGAAAGCAATAACGAAGTTGAAATGTGATCCGTCTATTGTTGGAAATAGATTTTATTTGGAAGACCTTCTAGATGATGAAATTGAAGAGTTATTAAACTGTCTTCCACAGTCGCAAGAGCTTTTGTCTAAGAAAAATCTACTTAAGTTGGAACTCATCGATAAAACTACAGAGACGATAGAACGTATTCGAGCTGAAACAGCTAAAAATTATCGTCAACAACTTCAGAATAATGTCGATTTATGTCTGCAAGAAGCCGGTCTTAGCGTTGGATTAGATAGTTCTGAAATGGCTCGTGAAGAATTGGAAATAATGAGAATTGTTGAACTTTTCATTTTACAAACAAAATTTAGGGACGATGATGTTGCCAAGTCAGAAGTTTATAGAAAGAGGCTACTCCAGCAAACGAAACTATTGATAGACGATATAAAACGAGCCCATCACAGAGAAACTAATATTAATTACGCAGTAATTGTATCAAATATCGTTACTTCACTAAAACAAGTCCCGATACCAGGAGATAACACAGTCAACGAAGAAGTTGACAATATTTTAATGGAATCTGAAGTGGAACGCTGGTTCAACGACTTGCCTATATTCAGAGACTTTAACAACCCAGTGGAAAAATTGCAATGGAAGAAACAAACTGACAACTTAGCTAAGCGAATCGGAGAAATAAGAACTACAGTATCTGACGATATGCGTGAGAATGTTTTGCGGAATCTGATTTCGAATTTCATAGACAAAACTCCAATACATAGAGAAGAGATGTTCAATAAAGAGTTTATGGTGGATGAACTGGTTAATCGAATAAAAAGAATTGATCAGTCTACTCTAGATGATCCTGGAGATTTTAAAGAGTTTTGTCGAAACGCTCCCCCGAGTTCCAGTTATGATAAGTTTTTGAGGTTCGAAAATGAACACTTGAACGATGAATCTGTTAACTACGACGCGTTTGCTAATCGAAAACCCTTGAGTTCTTCCTTGAGAGATTCTGGAAACGACTCATATAGAGAATTTGCAGCTGCGAAACCTAGAAGCTCCAGCCTCAAAGAAGATAAAACTGTACAAAACGACCAGATCCCACAAATAAACATACAACCTGCTACTCCAGAGTGCTGTAAAGGCCGTGCCCAATCAGATAAGAAATCTCCAGAACCGGGAAGACAAAGGAATTTCCTCAGTTCATCCCGAGGAATCGTTTTTAATGAAGACAACCCTAGTCGTGCAATTAAAGAAGATGTCAAACAAGAGAATCGAATAACATCCGAATGTCAAACTATTTACGCTAAAGTACCAAGTTTCGAAGTTGGTGATGTTGAGTTGAGCCAAGATGGCAGGCAGAGGACTGTTGCTACTAATACTAAAAGCGGAAAGCGATGTATCGATTTCGATGAACTTAAGTGTAGGTGTATCGAACGCTTTTTACGCAAGCGTTGTCGTTTTGAGGATTTAAATGATGTGTCTTGTTTCCCTTTTATGTTTGCTTGTCCTTGTTTCTATTAAATTTTTTTGTATCGTCACTAAATTTTATTTGAATTGAAGACACTTTTATATTATTATTCTATATTTAGCCTGTTTTTTTGTTTTACGTCTGTGACCTGTCTATTTTGTACTTGTTTTTGTTTGTAAATAAACTATCTACATTTGAATTTTCTTTTAAATATTTAAAATGATTAATGTTTTTTATTCCTTTTCAGTATTAACTCTTAGTGAGTCCAGTCCTAAACCAACTCCAATTGTAAGTATAACATATATTATAATAATCAATGTTAGGTTTTACAAAAATGTATACATTTTTTTAGTTTCAGGTCGCCAACTACGCTGCATGCGTACTTACAGCCAAAAATAAGCACGATATTAAACACACCCCCAGTGATAAGAATATAGTAAACAGTAGTAACCCACATACAAACCCCGAAAGACAAAACATGTTAAGATTTATTCATGACATATTTCACGATGAAATTAAGAGAAAGCTTTGGAATGAAAAGCTTTTAAAAATAATACAGAAGCTCAAAATGCCAAACGGTGAAACAGAGTTGAGGAAACGTATATATAAAATACTCAATGAAAGTGAATTGACGACTGAAGAGAAACAATTCTCTGTTGACCACATCATCGAAGTTATGAAGAATTTAAATGTTCCTATCAAAAGAGATTTCCAAATATTTCACTTTCATGTAGGAAAATCGAGTATAAAAGCGTTAGCCGAGTCTTGGGTAACAACTCTGCCCTTGAAAGACGTGTTTTTGGATCGTAAATTGGATAAAAATAAAATAATACATCACTCAACAAAAGTGTTGCTTCGCGAAATGGATATGGTTAATAAGATACCTATTATTGCTTTGAAAGATAATATATTAAACGCCTTATCTGATATACCAATAAAGGTCGACTTCCATGAAAAGAGTAATTTTTTAACACAAGAAGTCAATAAGTTCATTCAACTTATAGTTGACTCCAAAGATGATTCTATAGATAGAGAGATATTCAATGTATCACACGAAAAGGAAGTTGTTACAAGAAACAAAAAAATACTACAGTTGATTGACAAGGAGGTGACCGATATATTTGACAAATGCCATTTTTGTGAAAAATCGCAAAGCGAGCTTTTAAAACTGAAGGTGTTAGACACGATTGAAAATACATTGAACAATGTTAACATTGAAAAGCGAAATTTAAAGCTTAATATTTTGAATATATTAAGGAGTGATGGTAACATGAATCAGCGGGAGGCAAACAATTACACAGAACTCATTGTTTACCGCCTAAATACTGTAGTTAATGAGTACTCAGAAACTCCAAAGTGGGTTAGAACCATACTAAGAGCCTGTCGTTCAGATCCAATATTGAAAAAGAATTATGATTTGTTTGACAATTTTAAATTACATAACAGTCTTACAGAACTAATTGTCAAATGGTTAGAGAGCTTCCAACTGGAAGTACCAAAGCTTAAAGAGAAAGAATATATAATTATCGCCGCTAAAGAATTGTCTAACGCAGTACAAGCGAGGTGCAGGTTTTTACAGAATCATCCACGAAGAGTGTCACCGAAAGCTGAAACCGAATTTCTTAAATATCTAATTTTGATATGGATTAATAAAATGCTTGGTCATAACAAAGCAGAAGTATTAAGAAACGCAAATATTCTCCTGAACAATATATTACAATGTCAGCATAAAGTTCTTGTTAAAATTATGAATGCAAATTCTTGTTCGAATATTGTGGATCTCAAGAAATCCTTAGAAATATCTGATACAAATGCATTACAATCATATCGTCAAGCTTCAATAAGTATTGTTAATTTTGCCAAAACAACTCCTAAAAGCAAGTTCATTCAAATTGAAGGCTCCAGTCAAACCATTAACGATTTAAATACAAACAACTATTTAGATTATTATGAAGCATGCGTCGCTAGTTCAATTGATAGGAAATACGTGTACGAATTTATGCCCGTACAATTTATTTATAAACATTACAATGGTGTCTTTCAAAATCATTGCCAAGATCTCTTAAAGGGTTTGCCGTTAACTGAACATCTGATTACCAAATTAACCCAAAACGTTGTTAATATAATGTGGAAAGTTTATTACTCCCTTATATCTGACCCAAAAACAAATAGTGAACATTTTGAGAATATATTCGAACGGACTTTTGTAGAGTCTATCAAATCCGAGGTATTAAAGCTTGATTTAAAAGATGGTTGGACGAAAACGCTATCAGCACACGCTAGAACCATGTTTCAATGTGTTTGTAAAGAGCAGAGAAGTTGTATTCATCGGATAACATATCTAGAAGTGATGTATAGAGATTTAGGTATAACATCCAAAGATCACGATCTTTTGCTTATGAATGTTCTGGATAATTTAATTTTACTTACCAAATTCGAAAAAAAAGATCCGTTTAAAGCATACATATATAAAGAAAAAATTAACGATTCCTTGACAGCGATTATAAATAATGTTAAAAATGTAACTAAAAAGCCAACTGAATTAGATTATATTCATGATAAAGTATTTGATATATTCGATAGAATAGGTGTACATGGAGAAAGTGTTAGTTATGAAGCACAAGCAATTATCACTAGAAATCAATTTAAAGATTGGTTTAAAACGCTACCACTCAAATGTAATACGAATGATGTCCTACAATATAAACTTATGACTGTTTTAGCTAAAAACATTCATATTTTATCAACGATTGCCGATAAAGACATACAAAAAGAAATAGAAAAAGAAGTTATTGGATTTTTAAACGCCGAAATAAATGGAACAGATGCCTACACAGATTTTATCACAATAAATGAAAATTATACATTTGGTGTAAATTTACCAAAAATAAACGAAACGCGTAAAATAGAACACGTACGCTTTGCCGATTCATGTACCCAGTCCTCCAAGAGTAATAAAAAATCGAGTATTTTAAAGAACAGCAATAAATTCAAAGCGCAGTGCTATTGTATGAAAGATAAATGCAAATGTTATGATTGTGTTAAGAAGGAGAATGATAATAATAGGAAAATAAGAGGAATACCGAAAATAGAGGCAGTGGCTGTTCAAGTTGATGTTCCAGTTACTAAAGAAACCAATACAGAGCACCTGATTATTCCAGGTTGCAGTAAGAATATTTAATAATTGCATTTAAATGCATTGTATGATAAATGCAAATGTCATGATTGTGTTCAGAGAGAGAATGACAATAGGAAATAGATATGAATGAAATAGATAAATTGCAGTTACTTAAGAAAACAATACAGAGCACTTGATTATTCCTGATTGCAGTTGGAATATTGAATAATATTCAATATTCCAACTGATTAATTGAATAAACAAGCCAACTTATATTACTATAAATACTTTGTGATTTGGACAGTCTTTTACGGGGTTTATGCTAGTCCATATTCAAATACATAATTGTTGAATACTTTTTTGGTATATGTAATGTTATCATTTTGAATAGTTTTAAAACTGTTTCGATTTTGTTTTTTAGAAATAAAACAATACAATAATTTCTGTTCTTTCTCTTAAAGCCTGGTATATATGGAATTTATAAGAGTTGCGCCAATTTGAGATCTTTTGAGAACCTCTTTAATATTATATCAGTGCAGCCCTGCGATTCTATAACTCACTTTTCGAACTCACACAGCGGTTTTCGCATCGGCGGTCGCTCTCAAATCAGTCGTGAAGCAGTCATTTTATGATTTGGCATTCTGAAAAGGTGGGAAATGAAGTTTATTGTTAATCAGAATGCCAAATCATAAAATGACTGCTTCACGACTGATTTGAGAGCGACCGCCGATGCGAAAACCGCTGTGTGAGTTCGAAAAGTGAGTTACAGAATCGCAGGGCAGTAGAATATTATTTCCTATAATAAAAATAAAAATTAGCCTTTCTCCGAGTACATAATCAGGGTTCATTGAGTCCAGGTCATGTTGAACACACGACCTCCGACGGAGTAAAGATTTCCTCCAAATTCTTACACTTGTCTCTCATCCTCGACACAATTTTCCAATCCTTCCCGGCTACTCCTTTTATTCCATCTTCCCATTATTTCCTATACTAGAGCATAATGCTCTACCAAAATTGTTCTTTAAGGAATACTTGTTAGTAAGTACCAGATTGGCTATTATTTCTCTGTTATGCCCGGTTCACATTATTCCAGTCTAGAAATCCAGTGATCCAGTCATCCAGTCCAGGGCTGGACTGGAATGGAATGTCTACATATTCCAGTCATTCAAAAACTTAGTTCGGTAACACTACAGTGGCAATGCTTTCAAGAAAGTTTAGAAATTAGAAATTGTTTAAAACTTTTCAATTATTACTGTTAGAAGAAGCAGTAGAGAAGTGGAAGAAGAATTAGAAAGAAAGAAGCGGATTTGGGTGAGAAATTGAATAAGAGAAAGTAATTAAAAAGAAGGCTCAGCAATGCTTTTGCAACAGCTAAAATCAGAAGTAGATATAGATTGTAAACCTATTTTAAAAGAGTAAGTGTGGAGTTTCTTGCACATTCTTCTCCACACGAAACTACCTTTTGGAAGGGCCAACTAGAATCTTCTTTCTATTTTATTTGACGTTCAAAGGTGCCATTTTAGGTGGTCTAATTGAAATAAATGATTTGACTTTGACTTTGAAGATGCCTTGGAATACAGATTGGCAATGAGAATGATATCGGAAAATTTTGATGAGTTATCATTAATTCAAATAATATTCAACGTTACATTATTCAGAGATGCTATCTATACCGGAAAATTTTGTGAAGGGCGGATGGGAGCATGCCTTTGTGTTTAGTTACGAAGTGATATCCCACAAACACAAATGTTCTCTGAACAAAGAAACAAATTGAAGATTTTGGTTTTTTAGTTAAATTCATTGTTAAGAATTACCTATCAAATTCCATAAAATAACAACAATGTGTGTTCACTGTTAAACGTGTATTCAAAAACTGGATTGGCCGTTCGCACTATTCCAGTGGTGCTGGAATGGGTGACCTGGAATGAAAAGTAGACCGTCATTCCAGTCAACTGGACTGGATTTATACTATATCATTCCAGTGGGAATGGTACATTCCAGTGCTGGTTCACATTATTCCAGTAGCACTCCAGCGCCGGATTGGAATGCTACTGGAATAATGTGAACCGGGCATTAGAACGAGCGTCGAATCATTTTGTTTAGTCTTTCTACATATATACTATATTCTATACATCTCGCCAAATCCAACAAAAAAGCTAACAATATAGGAGCTTAAGTAAGTCAAAACCTTGAGCTATTTAAAGATTGTATTTAAATTTATTTTCCTGTAATTGTAATATGTCTGTGTAACATTTCCTTTTTGAAAAAAACTCATATTTTTTATATTAGAAGGTACCTAAATAAGATTCAAACGAAAGTAAAAGCACATCATAAACATTTAATACAAAACACATTCAAAACTGTCTATGAAAATACAACTGCGCAGGATGTGGACAGGCTCCACCGTAGCATCTAGAACACATTCTGTCATGATGCTGACAATTCCTAGATCTACATTTCGTCATTACGCGAGCTCCGCATTTACAACATTTCACCATTTTACTTTCTTGTCTCAATTCAAACGGCCTTTGAAATGTCATTCTCTCGAACGGTGCTGGGAATCCAGCGATAACTGGTCGTTTATTGATTTCAATGTTTGGATGTCTGTTACCAATGCTGTCTGCTGGAATTTGTGGATTACGATTTTCTATATGAATTTGATGCATTCCGGTAGAATGTACGTCTTGGGATTGTGTTTGTTGAGGATTGGAAACGTGGTGTGATGATAGATATGTTGACTGGTTTATGTTCTGTGGCTGCGTGAGTTCATTTATATTTGAAGTGTTAGAAGGCTGGTGTACTCTAGACGGCTCGGAGTCCCAATGGTATTCTTTAACAAGTACTTGTGGTGAAATATCAACATTAACGGCCCTCTCTACGGGTCGATCTGGTATGGTCTGAGTACTAGTAGTTACAGGAGGAGAAGTGGTGTCAACGTATTTTACTTGTGAGTTTTGAATTTCATTTAATTGTTGTCGTGCTCTTATTTTGTTTAAATAAGCTCTGTCTTCTGCGCTTAAGTTGCTTTGAGGCATAAATGGGGTGTATTGAGTTCCGTTTTCTTTCTTTGTTTGGTTATCCACATTCTGTGTAACATTAATACTTATTTCATTTCGCGGACTGCTGGCTTGTGTATGTCTTATGTTGTAATGTAGAGCCTTGGCTTCGGAAGCGATATCTATATGTTTTCCGCTAACAAAACTGTATTCCTTTAACCAGTCTGATATTGTTTTGAAAATTTCAAGATCTTTGTTGGACGGATTGTTTTGTAGATTATATATATTTGTCGATAAAATCGATATTCTGTCTCGGGTATTCATTGAGATGGGTTCTGGTGGATGACTGTTACTAAGCCATTTTTGAACTTCTTCTTGAATTAAAGAAATATTGTATGATGGCTCCAAGAGTTCTTTGCTCGGTACGGGAACTTGTAATAGGGCAATGTAAAGCTCTCTATTTAGTTCATTGACGTCCAATTGAGATCCGGGATAATGTTTTAAGTAATTATTGCAAAAGGTGTTAATTTCTTCTTGTATTTTAATTCTATATTTACTACGGGCGGTTTGATCGTCTGCGCAGAAATGGAGGCTTACAAACGCATCCGCTAGGTCATGTTTAAAAACTTCGAATGATTCATCATGTATAAAAGGAAATGTTTGTGATATAATAATGCGCAATTGTTTTTTGTACGTCGACGCTTCAGGAGTTTCGCCACTACTGCCACTACTAAACAAATTCAGCCGCTCCGCCAAGTCCTCTATTTTTCCCATGAAGTGTGTTAATTCCCGGTCACTCACCACATTATTCAAACGTTTGAACACTTGAAACTTGAGATGCTCAAACTCCGCACTCTTTCTAACTTTACTGTTCGATAGTTTCAAATATTTCTGTCGATCTAAAATGTCTTCGGCTAGTTCAGTGATAATTTGGTTTTTTAAATTTTCATCAATGTCTAGTTCTCTCAACCAATCACTTAGAATTCTTTTTACAAGCATTGTCTCTCCAGTCTCTTCTTTATGGGTGTCACTAGCTACCTCGGATTCATTATTAATTTCGTGAATTGACGGTATAGATAACGTTTCCAATGATGGCTCAGTCTCTCTATCCGGTGTAGATGTAGCTCGCTGTGGTTGGTCTTCGTTTTGGCCAAGAAACTTGTCGATATTCTGGGATATATCCTTGGCAATATTTTTAAATACTTTGTGCTTCTGTAACGTTTTCGGCTGTTCATCTTCATCTGTATTTTTGGAATCGTTAGTGTATATTTTATCACTTTCTTCTTCACTTGTATATTCTTGATTACTTTCATAGTTCCTGCCCCCGTGTTTAGAATCTGATGTGAATTTATTTCCGTGAATATAAGGCGTAGAGAACCCCACAATCTTATCTACAACAGCGCTTGCTATATCATCGATGTCCTTGTCCGAAAACTTAGTGTAATCCCTTAGAATGTGGGATATAGGTGCTTTTGTTTCTGCGTGAGTTGGTTTAGGAATGTCATTCAGTTTCTTTTCCACTTCATCTGTTATTCTTGATATAAGCTCTCCTTTTGTTTTCTTCATATAATTCGACGAATACTTGTCAAGGACTTTGGAAACGCCATTGTGGATATCACGTTTGGGAGTTTGTACTTTTTTCCACTTTTTACGGCTCTTGGGTGCTAATTGGTTTGGATAACTTTGTTTTTCTTGTCTTGATGAACTTCTGGAAGATTTCTTACTAGGACTTGGACTGTTAGTACCACGTGGCGATTCGTCTATGTGATTATTTGGAGCGCGTCTCATTTGCGACAACACGCTTTCTGTTAGATTTTGTCTTTCCCTCGGTGGAATCACTGCGCCCGTTTCTTCATTTAACTTATGAACCCATTTCCTTATTGCATTATTTACCATCCGTTTAACGGTTCTATCGTCATATTGTTTACTTTTTATATCTTCAAGATCACTTACCAACTTTTGTACTGCCTGCTTGTACTTATCTAAATTCGTTGCATTAACATTTACTGAATTTTTTAACCACTTCATGACTTCTGTATCGAGATCTTGTCGACTAGCACGAGGTGCGTAGGAGGACACAGTTGGAGCATTTTCTCTTATTTTCTTTACGAAATTGTTCACTAAATTATCAATGTTCGATCGCGGTAAACGTATATTATTATCTCGTAATAAATTTGTCAACCAGTCCTTAATAACAGAACGTGTATCAGGTGAGATCTCATTTATATTCCCTTCTCTTGCTAATTCATTGAGTGTTTTTTCTAGATTTTCAACTGCCAATTTATTTTTATGCAAATCCATATTTAGTTGCGGAATATCTTGTACCCATCGGAAAATGTTATCTTTCATTCTTTCTTTTTTATCGGGCCTTCCTTGACTGGGGCTGACTGAATGACCGACAGTGACTCTTCTATCAGGGTTTGCACCTTGCATCGGCTGTAACTTTGAAACAAGCTTTCTCGTGAGCTTATTAATAGATCGTGAACTAAGAGTACCATCTTTATTAACGACGTCATTTAACCATTTCTTGACTATGCCTTTCTTCATCTCAGGGTTTTTAGATTTAGCTAACGATTTCACTAGGGGAGCGATAAGCTTTTTTCTTTCTTGTATCGGTAAATTCGTTAATTCAGGAACACCTTCGAGCCAGTCTAAAACCGCATCTTCTATATTGCTCACTGGGTCTTCTTTCTTACCTCCATCAAAAGAACGGCCTCTGCTACTTCTGGGGATGCCTTTATCCATTGACTTCTTTGTTGATAACTGAGTTATATGTTCTGTAACATCCAATGGTAACTGTTGAACTAAACCAATTATTTCGTCTGTCAAATATTGTTTAAATTCTTCTTTCGGTAACGCTCTATTCATTATTACGGGTTTCAACTTTTGCGCTACAGCCTTGGTTATTAATTGTTTGTTCTTATCGGATATATCGTATTTGGATAGTATATCAGATACGAGATCAGATATATTGTGTTGCCATTCGTCTTGGACCAGCAAATACTTTAATTTATTCGTAAGATTTTCACTCATATCGTTAACGAGAGATTCGCGTTTATTTTGTAAATCCGGGATATCATTCAAGCACTTTACAGTTTTCTGTTTAATATCATCTATATTCAAATGTTCAATATCTTTTAGTTCATTTTTCATTCTCCTAATAAAACCCTCTTTTTGATCACTGGATATGTCCACGTTGTAAAATGGTGGAACTTGGTTAATCCATTCCTTGATAAGTTTTTCAACACGAGACGGAAGATCTTCAGGTTCGTTTAAATCCAAATCTGGGACTAGTTTCTTCAATATATCCTCAAAGTCCTGTTTGTTGTCTGCTTGTCTCTCAGTGGATTTAGTTTTGCAGACACACTCTTCTGGCGTTTGACAGAAGCAGGATTTGTGTTTCTTCTCAGCGTGTGTTTCAATACCCTGTAATGAAAACGTTATACTTCCTTGGGATTAACAAGAAATTATTAAATACCGCAAAGAAACACATAAAGCTTGGAGAATCTTTGATCGAATTTTACTCTGATCTCATAAATGTCACTGTTTAAACTATGATTGTCCAATTACATGCTTACAATGCTTTGATTCAACATAGAGTTGCAGGCGATGTTGCAGTTATGTGAAATCATACATAATAGATGGAATCTTTTTAGCAAGATCACAAAATAAGTGGAAATCTTACGTGACATGTTCCTTCAACACTCGCGTCTCTGGTTTCGCGAGGAGAAATAGCTGGAAAAGAATTATATTTAATTTATAACTCTCAATCCTTGTAAACATTGGGCAAGCCGGCAGAACGCCCATCTGATGAAAAGTGATGCTGTCGCCCATGGACACTCACACTTCCACAAGGCTACGCTATTTTATTGAATCGGAGTCGAATTGGGTCGAAATACCATACTGGTTCCATATAGGTGCGTGGAAAAAACTGCCATAAGAACGCTGTAACGACGACGGACGTCGAGGTGGTCCGATGATGAAACTCAGATGCAGGTATCTATCCGCCCATCCGAACACTTTCCATGTTAATGTCCATGCAGTAAAAGATACAAAGGATGAAGAGATGTTAATAAATCTTATCCATAATCGTACTACAAGCCACAATATGTTAAAATATATTTAGAAACACTCAATAAAATGTTCTTATTATATTTATAAATAATAATAAATTATGTACCTTGAACTTCAATGCTTTTGTTGTTTTGAGGCTGTGAAATGAATATTTATTATAACTTAACAGTAGATACATAATCTATATCATAACTTAGAAATGTCATCCATTGATGTCAGCACCAAGTGACCTCTTTTAGTCCTCTTTGGGATTCTTGACCGTATTTAAATTGTTATTTAAGTATCTTTTAATTAAGGACTAATTTAACTTAGCGTTTTTAATAGCACATTGGTTAACAGGTAGAGAGCCCTCTTAATTTTAAACTTCAAAGAATGATAGCGATTCTTTAATCAATCAAAATCAAAATACGTTTATTCAATTTAGATGCGTCTTAGGGCATGCTTATGAATGTCAAAAACGTTAATATTGAGTTTTGGTACGCCTTCCCATGTTAGTAACTTCTTTTCTAACAAGAGCCATCGCTTATTAACATCTACCCTAATTACGGAATTATTACTGCAGAGGATTGAGCCCAGAGGAATCAGTCACACGTAGCCCTGGAGTGCGTGGCTGTGGCTTCCAAATAAACACAAATCCTCGGAGCAGTGAGGTCGCTCCATGAAGAGTCTAAGTCTATAATACCTGAGTCCACACAACAGCTAATTACGGCATGATTCCAGATTAAAATTACCTTAATTTGGAAAGAATGTGATCGGCAATGTCTCTTGTGATTGCTGAATCGACTCTTGATTTTCGGACAAATCTGTAATTTGTTTTAGTTCAACCACATGGCAGACCCATCAATGCCTATCACAGTTTATTGACAAGTATTTTTAAAGATCTATTGAACTTTTAAATCGTCAAGATACCATCGGAATTTTAGTTTAAAGAAAGAATAAATATCCAAATTAGTTTAAAATCAACTTGATCCAGTAGAACTAACCTTTGGTGAATCATCACACAAGTCCAGTAATTTGGTGCAAATCGCCCGTTTGAGTCCCGTCAAGTATCGGACTTCGAGTCCCGGTTTCGACATACTTGTATTTAAGTAATTGTACCTTGTGTCTATTTCTGGCCTGAAAAGAGTAAACTTTTAAAATAACTTAGAATTGAACGAATTATTAAAAAAATAATCGAAGCTGGAATTAATATAAAAATATAAAAAATTTGTCCCTAATTTGCGCTTGATACAGTTGCACGTGCCCGGTGTGACGAACCGTTTTGCCTTGCTCAGCACACCAAGCTTGGCTTGGCTCCAAATGACCGTGAAACTGAACAAGAGTATTCCGATGCTGGCTGTGGCTTAAAGGAGAGTGTCTTCGAAGAGACTTCTGTTTTCTCGCAGAAAAAGCGCAAATTTCTGTCTTCTTGGAGTTAAATTGGACTAGATGTAGTCGGCCTCAGTCCGAGACTCCTCGCAGCAGAGTTTCAACTTCAGGCTCAAGTTTGCTTCGGTACTCATCGACAACGGCCCGAGAAATACCTGCCCGGCCAATGAAAAGAGTATCCTCCGTGCTATCATTAAAAGTGTTGTATGTTATCTGTTTATATATTTACTAAATAAACAGCTACAGCTACAGCTAACAGAGAAGTACTCACCTTGTATTAACAAGACTGGAAGACCTCCCGAACAAGAGAGACACAGAGCTCGTCACAACACCAATGGATCGCTTCGCACTTCTCTTATGATTCGAACTCTTGCACAGAAGAGATCTCATGCTTCTAGACTTTGATTTCTTGCTAACTGGATAATGCAATAAAAATTAACCCGTACCTATTGTTATTGTTTGTAAACGTTGTTATGAAAATTATATGCGTAGTTCAAAAGTCAGTGCACAGTAATGACTCTAGCTTCATTTGCAGGTTGCTAATGTTAATACAACACATGAAGGGGGCATGAGCCCCAAACGGGCCAAGCACAAGCTCACCTCTCTCAAGAGAGTGTGCAGCAAATGCCACACTGCTAGAAGTTTGTTCAATGTATTTTAATGTAAGTTCTTTGATAATAAAGCAGTTTAAACATTGTGTGGTGTCATTTCATACGTTAGGTTATTTTCGTTCCTGGTGCTGAAACCAGGGACCTATAGATATGATATATTAACGTAAAGATTATTTCCTGACAACCTAAGTAATATGAAAACGTAACTCACAACTCCTGCCTTGTGCGTAGCTCAAAATCCGTTGGACGATTTCATCTGATTGAGATTTCTCTAAGCCAGGATTGGGGTACTTCCTCAACGACTCCGCGAAGGCATCCGTATTGTGGAACATACCTGACAACATATATATATCTCTTACACATATAACATTTCTCCGTCAAATCGAACCTTATAAGAACATTAAATATTATGGCATACCTCTTGGATTTGTTTGTACTTTTTGTATTATTACTAATGGAAGACATATACAGAATATGACAGAATAGACGAGGTTAGAATTCTAAAGCCTCGGTTCAAGCGAGCAGTGTGACTGAACAATCATACCTTAGTGTTCATGATGGTTACGTTAGGAGGCGAAAACTAAGTTCTCGAAAAGGCCAGACATGACAATATATGGAAATAATGAACATAGATTTACACACGTTTTTAATTGTCCGTTGAGTGAACTGACAAAATGTCTGCTTCCCATTTTCTAAGAAATATTTAATCTTTTTGTTAATGTTTCAATCTACTAATGCTGTGTTGTTTTTTCTGTGTATGTTTTGTTTTGTATGTGATGTAAATAGTTTGGATTGGCCGGTTATGGTAGCTCATTTTGTTGAAATAAATATAGAATCTATAATAATGACTCCATTTCGTCCCCTAATTCAAAACAAAGGTCAATCAAAGTCCTACTAGGTACTTACGCGAAATTGCAGCCGATCGCTGTGGATGTTCCCATATCGGTGGTGGTGGATACTCCATAGAGTAGGTGTCCTAAAACATTATTCTTAATTAATCCTTAACTAAAGTACTAAACTAGTGCCTAAGATTCAGTAAACGAAAAAGAGAAAGACAATTTAGAAGGTGGATACATCAGATTAAGGAAACGGCTGATATATGGCAGAAAGTGGCACATTGCAGAGAGGAATGGCGGGATTTGCAGGAGGCCTTTGCCAAAGAAGGGCACACAGATACATAAAATAATATATAAATGTAAATGTGTTTATATGAAAAGTATCTGAAATAAAAGGCTATTATTATTTTTGGCCATACCTAAGGCCATGGATGAATGAGAAGCAGCTTACGAATAGGATATACACAGCAACCGTGAATTGTGACCTCCTTGAATCAAGTACAGCCTGGACTAGAGAAGAAGCAGGTCAAAAGTACCAGAGCATGAATGTAATGAAAATGGATGAAGCGAAGCAGTGTTGTGAATATGTGTGTAATGGTGAATGTGGTAAATCACAGAACAGATTTTTATTTTTTTAACTTATGTAACTTTAATGACGTTGTGCTTTTTGACATTTTCCTTTGAATAATTGTAATGTAGAGGGAGGGTAAAACTTGCTGAGTTTCTTGCCCGTTCTTCTCAGAACAAGGCTTGGTAGTTTTGCGAACGGATGGCGTAGATTGCTCTTTCGCAAATTTTGTTAACGTTTTTGACATGCATATAGCCCTAAGACGCATCTAAATTGAATAAACGTATTTTGATTTTGATTTGATTTTAGTATGTCAGGACTATAACAAGTGGAGATCCGTGGTCTCTGCCTACCGGAAAGAGGCGTGAAGAAATAAATACAAATAAAAATGACTTACATTCTTCTTAAAACTGCTACCATCTATTTGAACCGCACTATCAGTATAGCACACGTCTGTATTTGTTTCAACATTTGATTGATCTGTACGCGTGGGTGATTTCTTACCTAAAACGTAAAATCTTTAAACTAACACAATTATCCTGTGTAGTTTTGAATTCAGTATTTCACAATCGTGGAATATCATATAGTAATAGTGTTGTGAAGGTATGGTCTCACTATGTTCCAGGTCCTATTTGGTCATATGTAACCTTCAAACGTAAATTTGGGGGTAAACGCAAGCCTGGTAGTGCTAGCATCCGAGAGTAGACGGGAGTCAAGAAGCGGTGATTGACTGGCGACCCTAGTGAGAGAGTATCCATTCATTTGTTTTGTTTATTATAATGATTTAATGCTGCAACGTCATGTGGAGCCACTATATTGCAGTACCGGCAGTAAAAGAAAAAAAGAGCGGCAGAGAGGTTCTTGTATTCACGCCCTTGATGGTAGGACTGTTGTTAAATGGAACTTGAACTTTTTTTTATCGTTAAAAGCTGTATATTTTATTAAAAATATAAAGTTTTTATATGATATTCTTGTTTGATTCGCGCTAAGTCCTTCCACTTTAGCTTAACGAATTGCAAGCTATGCTATATTTGAGCTGTTTAGGGGTGTAGGACTTCTTCTTGGCTCCTAATGAAATGCTTCATCTGAACTTTGGATGCGTACTTGTATATCAAATCATCCATTAAAACATTCCAAACATCTGGAGAATACCTACCAATAAACCCCGGTCGTATTGGATCCGCACATACCAAAGCGATGGTCACTTCATTGTCTCTCAAACCACGCAGCATCACGACTTCTCCACCGCCCTGCATCTTATAATCTGTAAGATTTAACAAACTTTCTTTTACAATTACAAGATCATTTAACAATATTCTTAATCAAGACATTACAACAACAAATCACTCTTTATATACACAAACAAGAAATTAATAACTCATCGAACAACAAAGTTTCAAAGCAATGAATACCACACAATTTTTCATCACATATTCTGTCACCATCTCATTAATTCGCACCAACTGTCTCCTGAATAGTTCCATTGTATGGTTACTTTTATGAGGACAAGCTACAAGAATAGAAAGAGACTAACGCATGCAGAAAGCGTTTGTAAATAATCTCACACCTACTTTAACTTACACGAAACTTCAACAGATTGAGGACGATGCAAGTGAAGTCGGGTTGAAAGCAACTCTCAATTTCACTACTTGTACTTGGCCTGAAAATATTTATCGATTAGCAATTAGCTATTGTGATACTACACTGTAATAAAAGAGGCGCTGGACAGAAACCGGTGGAAACCGATTTTCCGCTCGTACTTTTTCCTTTCTGACCCAGACTGAAGAGAGATAGTGATACTACAATCGTGCCGGACTTCCGCCATATATTTGGAGCCTAATATCCAAGTAGACTAGAAGGACTTTAACGAAAACAGACCTAACATATTAGATTTCTTTTTTATGCTTCTAACTCATAATACTTACATTATATAAATTAATTTTGGATTAAAAAAGATTAAACAATAATTTTGTAAACATTAATAATATTTAGTACATGTCAAGAAATTGATATCATAATCACAGATCACGATTTATTTAGATTATTTTTTCTTGATGAAAAACTCTTTCCTGATAGACGTTATCTTTGGCAATTTCTTATTAATCTTAACGATTATTATGTTTACAAAATTATTGTTTACTATTATTCAAAATTATTTTTTTAAATAATGTAATCACAATATTTATTAATTTAATTAAGTAACTTTTCGCAGTGACTATTCATACGGATATATATATTATTATTTCAATGTATCGATTATTATTTCCTCGTTTTTTAATTTTAAAGTTATACATAGATTAATTAACATTGAAATGAACCTCATTTCGTGTCGATAGATTATAGGGTTCCGAAAATTTTGAAATTATCCATAATTACGTTTGTATTTCCTAATTAGTAATTGTATTTCATTGTTTGCAACTTTCTGTATTATTTAATTCTTACTAGACTTCTTATTCTTAAAGTGTTTACTTGAATATCCAAAAAGTACCCAAAACCGAATCAGAGCACCCCACTATCCACGTGGTCTTGTCTGCCCTACCCCTAGAGTGTATATAAAAAATCGGAGGCGCGGAGGAAGAGCAGCCCCCACCCGCTCTTACAAAGCACAGGCATTGAATAAAATGTCTGTGAAAAAATCGTCACGTTTTTCGGTTACGCGCCACGTTGCTTTTTTTTAATACCAACTACAAATTGCTTGATCGATCGCAGGTTGAATACGATGTTTTATTGAAAGTTTTGAATTGGCCATTCCGTTTCGAAACTTTCAATAAAATATTGGCGGCAAATCTCGCGAGAATACCTTGAAATTAGTCGGATTACTTCAAGTAAATGCAAATTCTGAAATTCTGTAATTATCTTAGTAATAAGGTAAAATATAATAATTGCATTATTTGAATTCATGTCTATGATAATAAAAGCCTTTTGTTAAACTTTATCTAAGTTAACTTTATTTAACCAATTTCTGTAAAGTTGCATATTATAGTAGATCATTTTTCGAAAAATAAGGTCATAAAGAAGTTTTACTTCTTACGTGTGTACACCTAGTACACGCACAATTTTTCTTAAGTTGGATAGTTCATTTATCAAGAATATAGGGTTTATGTGACGGAAGAAATACAAGCAAATCCGTGCGGAACAGCTTGTCTGTATACAGAAATGTGTGTGATATTTATAAATTTTCAGGCCAAGTACAAGAAGTGAAATTGAGAGTTGCTTTCAACCCGACTTCACTTGCATCGTCCTCAATCTGTTGAAGTTTCGTGTAAGTTAAAGTAGGTGTGAGATTATTTACAAACGCTTTCTGCATGCGTTAGTCTCTTTCTATTCTTGTAGCTTGTCTTCATAAAAGAAACCGTACAATGGAACTATTCAGGAGACAATTGGTGCAAAATAAATAGATTGTGACATAATATTATGTGGTGAAAGATTGTGTTGCATTAATTGCTTTGAAATTTTGTTGTTCAATTAGTTAGTGTTAACTTGTTTGTATATATAAAGAGTGATTTGTTGTTATAATGTCTTGATTAAGAATATTGTTAAATGATTTTGTAATTGTAAAAGAAAGTTTGTTAAATCTTACAGTTTATAAGATGCAAGGCGGTGGAGAAGTCGTGATGCTGCGTGGTTTGAGAGACAAGGAAGTCGGGGTTTATTGGTAGGTATTCTCCATATGTTTTGATTTGATTTACGCATTGAAAGTGCAGCCAAGAGGAAGTCCTACACACCTAAATAGCTGAAGTATAGTATAGCTAGAATTTCGTTAACCTAAAGTGGAAGGACTTAGTGCAAATCAAACCATAATACCTATAATATAACAAATTTATATATTTAATAAAATAAACAGCTTTCAATCATAAAAAAAAAGTTATTTAAAACCTTTCATACTGGCATTTCCGCGCTGTTTGCGACACTTATTCGTTGAAAGCACCAGCTCTGGCGTCACCGGTAATAGGTATCTACCAGACGCCAATTTAAATATTTAATTAGAGCCTGTGCACTTGAACCGGATTAAAAAGGTATGTATTTTCCGTATATAAAACTATTTAATATAATGTTATGTACTCTTAAAAATCGTTTTGTCTTAAATACAAATTTCCCACAATATCGTGGGACAATAATTAGCAAAATGCTAATTCTATTGACAAGCGAATCAGCCCGCCGTTTTTTACATCAAACAATAATAACACAGACTATAACGTAAATATATTATTACCAAAGAGGTTAGAGCGCGAAGGTTTCATTCGCCACACTTTTATATATCCGTCTCTATTTACGTCCTTTGTTGGAAAACGATGGAAGATCTAATGTAATTGAATCTATAAATGATTTCATAATAGGAGTAACGAATGAACAAATTGCGTTATTATAAAATTGATGTGTTTTGTAATTATTAATAGTTTACAAATAAATAAATCATTTTATTGTATAAAAATACTTTATTACACTAAGTATATAAAAATACATTGATCAAAATTTTACAAATATTATAAACTTAGACTGTTACAAACGTGGACATACATACACACATACACTTATTAGCAAAACTTAGCACACATATTAGGCAACGTAAACAAAAAATATCAAATTTCAATAATATCACATGTTTTAAGTTTTATTTTGCATATTTTAAGAACGTCAAACTAATATATACAATACTAAAAACCGCCTGCTTTTGAAATCGGCCAAAACTCTTTACGGTATTACTGGTAAACATAGTCATTACATCGCATGGTCATGGGTTCATTGACCATTTCTTTTTAATAATTTAATAATTGTGACAATTAAATGTGATATATAATATTACTAAACTAATTTATTCTTAATAAGTACAATCTTTCTTTCGAAGTTGTCTTTAAATTCTTCAAAATCACAACGGAATGATATCATTATTATTATTATATGATTGAAACTTTTTTATTTAAAATAGATTGTTATGACTTTTAGAATAGGGTTCAGTTTCTATTGTATCTCGACAATAACGGTTATAATATGGTAGAATATTATCAGGTATTTCGAATGTTAAGATAAAAGTTTCAACATACTTAGATGGGCGTTAGTGTAAATAAATGAACAAATCAAATCAAATCAAAATACGTTTATTCAATTTAGATGCTTCTTAGAGCATGCGTATGAATGTCAACAACGTTTACAAAATTCACGAAAGAGCAAGACTACGCCATCCGTTCGCAAAACTACCAGGAGGCCTTGTTCTGAGAAGAACGGGCAAGAAACTCAGCAAGTTTGCCCTCCCTTTACATTACAATTATTCAAAGGAAAATGTCATAAACCACAACGTCATTAAAATTACATAAGTAAAAAAAAATAAAAAATCTGTTCTGTGATTTACCACATTCACCATTACACACATATTCATAACACAAAGAACCAAAGCGGTAACCACGTCACTATGTTATAATAAGTTTGATTGATTTAAGTAAATTTAATTTTTGTCTGTAATAATTATTTCTTTAAGATACATTTGTAATTTTTATAACTTCAAAGCCTTTGAACTTTAAGTTCTGTCACTTTCATTTATTTTAAATTGTGACGGGAGTGATAAAGGTAAAACATAATACAAACAGCTGTTTAAGGCTTATTGTACGTTTATAATGAAGTCTACGTAGCAAATATATTGCCAATCATAAAAGATGAAAATGGGTTAACCATTTAAAACCGGAATATATAGGTATTCAAAAATTTTCCCACTTATCTTTAGTATGTACATGCATATCTTATTTAGTTATTCCATGGACGGTTTTATATATTATGTAGCTAACATCATACCATATTTTTTACGTTACATTCATATTTGTTTTCACTATATCAAACTTCAAGTCAGTCGTTATACAGCACTTGATAGGACCGCACGCATCGAGTTAATACAAAAACAACGCAAAATTTGTTAAGGAAAACCGTTTGAAAAGTATTTAAAAGTTTTAATAATCATCTTTATGTTTTAAATAGTATATTTATTTGTTAATAATTAGTGACAGAAATGGAAGACGTGTATACAATAAAAGTGAAAACGAAACCAGATCCAAGGAACTTGTATCCATCGGAACGTCGGTATTCTGCGTCGACCGTGTCTGGCTTTGCTTGGGTTCACATTGTTCTGGCGATAACATTACTAATATTAACAAGCTTAACATTAATCATACCAAACGAAAATTCAGAATTTACTAACACATCTAACTTCAAGAATTCCACAAACAACGATAATTCATATCTGTTAGTGATGGCGCCAAGTTTAGTGTCAATATTCGCGTTGACAGCTGGTTTGACTGCAATTTTGTCTTCTGTGAAGTGGTACATTGATAAAAATATAGCATTGTTTTTCATAGCGTCTGTTGTTGCGTTTTTGTCGTGTTTATTAGCCATTTGTTTGATTATAACTTGGGGATTAACTAATAATGGCGAGAGAGAAGTCTTTGTGTTAAAACACACCGATATACTCAATAAAAATGAAACCCACTTGGTAATTAATCGAAATGTTACCGAGGAACAAACTAAATTGTTTACAAATAATGTTTTGTTAGTGAATATTTTGATTGCTACGATATTAGAGCTGATCTTGTCGATTTTAAGTATAAAAATCTCATATAAAGGTATGAAAAACACGTATAATGTTGAGGATAAACGCGGAGATTGTGTCGAAGTCGTGACAAAGATAAAAGGAACTCAGGGAGGAAAATTTCACCCTAAACTTAATAGGATTTTTCTTGCCCATAATAAAAATGGTTTTTATTTGAAGAATGAAAAAGCGAAAACTCCAGAGACAAGTTCCGAGTTGTATAAAGAACGAATGATGGATTTTTTGAATGAGTCCTTTGAAGGGTCATCAAACCCGGAACAATCCAGCGAGCAATCAGAAACAGCCGTAAAACCCGGGACCCCCAATAAACGAATAACACCACTAAGTTGGGGAGATTCACCAGATCATAGTGTGTATAACCAAAATACAGTGAATTTTGAAAGAGTTTTCAAGTTTCACAATGATAAGACTGATAATAAGGAGTGACAAATTTGTTACAAGAATCAAAAGCTTAAATATCTACATAAAAATAGGTAACTCAAATATTGGATAAATTTGTATTAAATCTGAGAACACAACTTAATAACATAATATAATATGTATAATTTAACCATAGCCCTAAGAAAATCTATGATATAAATAAATAGTGAAAATTAGATTAATACATAATTATGTTATGTGACATTCATATGATATCTTGCCCACAAATAATATAATATGATTGGAGATTGGAGCTGAAAGGGCATGGGACAAGCATAGAAGTATGAAATTGTTCAATTAAAATACATTGTTTTTTGTCTTTGTTTAAACTTTCATTAATATATTAAAATACGTTATCACATAATGTAAACTATTTCCATGTCTATAAAAATAGAAATAATTACCAAATTATATATTTTTACTTTTTATATAATAGGAGGCAAACAGGGAGCACTTGCAAGCCTTCTGGCAACACACATTGCCAGACATGGCACTAGGCTTGCAAGTGTGTTGCCAGCCTTCAAGACAAGAATGTGTACGCTCTTTTCTTGAAGGACCCTAAGTTGAATTGGTTTCAAAATACTTCAGTGGGCAGCTAGTTCACAGCGGTGGTGCGTGGCTGGCAAAAACTGACTTAAGAAACTACAACTCCTCTGAACACTCCATTCCCTGGCAAGACTATAAGAATAACGTCAATCATCACACAAAATAACTTGAATCTTACATAATAGAAATAATTGATGAAGTTATAAATTATATTAAATAGCACTATAATCACAATATTAAGTATAGATAGAAAAACTAAGCTTATTTTAATCAAACAGATGTCTATCCAAGCTCAGAAAGTATATGGTATGACTGCCATTTCTGAACAAATACATTTTTAACATTAAGGGAAATACTAAGCATACCTCTTGACTTGAATCTAATATAGCAAATCTCTCTAGTTGTAGTCTGCTGTACAGTATGTTTGGTCTAACCATAACTCTACTGTTGCTTTATAAAACATCACTCCTTTCCTATATACAAATATGTATGTATAAAACATAGTTACCGTGTAAGTTGGCATGTTTTCCTAGATCATGCGAATGTTAAGTATGCATCAAATGGATTGAACTGTAATGACTCTGATCCTGAAACAACTAGTTTACCACTGCTGAATATTGTTAATAGTGATAAAAATTATTTTGTGATATTTTATAATTTTTTATATGACCTTGTATTTAACTTATAATAAATGTATTTAAAGATAAATCTTTTATTTGCGAGTTTTACTATCTAACCACCTTTAAAAGAAATTGAAGTATCATAATTGCATACACATATTATGTATGTTACTATTTATTTTGCATATAGTTTCCATATGCCAGTTTGTTGCCGGCTTTTAGAAATTCATATTCGTAGACTATAAGTCGAATCGGTTCGGGAATACATCAGTGGGTAGCTGGTTCCACAGTGGTGGAGCGCGGCAAAAACTGCCTTTAGAAACGCTCGTCGAGGTGTTACGGAATGTATTGATGATGATGCTGATGAAACTCAGCTGCAGGTTTAAGATTGTTAATGAATGAATAGTTTTGAATCGTTAGTGAAACTTTAGTTTCTAAAGTGGTTAAAGAAATCGCCTCTGAAGGATAAAAAGTAGCTGATATGAAGATTTGCGTGTATGATAGCATGGGGTTGGTGTTTGTTTCCAAAAAAACTCTGCTGCTAATAAATATTGTTGTCTAACCTTTCGTTACCTAAAATATTTAAATTACTTAACTTACATCTGTCATTATTTATTGTGTATTATCAAAACAATCTAATTTTTACATTTCGTTACGTTATAATGTTAGTCAAACAAGGGTGAGACGAAATCCCAAACTTGCCCTAAAGGCAAAATATAGTAAAACACAAAACAAGAAAAAAATATTTTATTCATTTGAAAACTTAATACTAGTATTGTCTTATATTGATATAAGTTTTACACATTTAAAGAATACACTTTTTACAGGATTGATTTTTTCTGATTTAGAATAATACATAACTTCAATCCGATAAAAAGTATTTTCATTAAATCTTAATACTAAACGAATTATCATGTCAATTAAATCTAATTAAAAGTAGATAGGAAACAATAATGGTGGGTAAGTCACGCTCTTTCAATTGTCACGAAATATTAACCAAAATTGTGTAGTTTTATTGGATATTTAGACATTTATATATATAAACATATATTAATAAATCAACTTAGGCTAGTTTTGAAAAGAAAGTATCTATGCCTTTGAGATGTGGTGCTGGAGGCGAATGCTCAGAATACCGTGGACTGCGAAGAGCACCAATACATCGATTCTGACCCAACTCCGCATACAAACTTGCCTGTCTACCATATGCCGACGAATTGTATTATTGATTGTGGTTGGTAACACAGAAGGCAAAAGATCACATGGTTGTTCACCAACCAGATGGACCGATCAAGTGAAAGACTTTTCTCCAGATGCTTCTTTACTGACCACGACACTGAAACATGAGCTGTCGATTAAAGAGAGAGAGAGCTATGGATTAATATTATTATTTAACAAAATCTGTTGATGTTGCAGGTCAGATAACAATCATTAGAAACATGCGAGGTGGCACCATATTAAACATTTAATCATTTTAATCAACGAAAAAAATATATACGTATAAAAATATTTTTTTTTTTTTTTTTTTTTTGTGTTCTTGTTCATCTGCAATCGGCTATCAGCCATAATCAGATATTTTCTGAGGTTAATTTTGGTTGGGTGCGATTCCATTGAAAGGCACCGTAAGTGTTGGTAGAAACTGGATTTTTATTGTAGGTCAGTTTCTCTGGTCTAGGTCTAGTATTTGCCATCTTTTTAGGCGAGTTACATCATCTCCTGGGGTTAGCAGATTCTTAGCCAGTTCATTTGTATGTTTGGTTAACCTTTCCCTGTATCTACTACTGTTTTTGCGGATTACTTCCTTTACGGTTGGCATCTCCAGATATTCGTGTATTTCCGTGTTTCTCACAAACCAGTGTGCACGTGAAATAGTTCTCAGTGCAATGTTTTGAAATCTTTGGAGGATTTCGATGTTAGAATTGCTTGCACAGCCCCAGAGTTCTATTCCATATGTCCACACTGGTTGTATGATGGCCTTGTACACAAGCAATTTGTTACTCAGGGTCAGCCTAGATTGCTGGCCTAGAAGCCAGGATAGCTCTTTGAATTTCAAGGTGGCTTCTGTTTTCTTGGCTTTTATATGATTAGCCCAGGTCAGTCTTCTGTCCAGATGTAGTCCGAGATATTTCACGCTGTTTTTGCTTGGTAACGGTTTGTCTTCTATATGCACAGGTGGACAGTCGCCCTTTCGCAGTGTAAATGTTACTTGTATTGATTTAGTTATGCTAGGCTTGATTCTCCACCTCTGCAGCCACACGTTCACCTTATTGAGCTGTTCCTGTAGTTTCAGTGAAGCGTTATTCGCGTTCACATCGCTTGCAAGGCATGCAGTGTCATCTGCGTATGTTGCTGTTACGACATTTTCTGTTTCAGGCAAGTCTGCCGTATATATTGAATAAAGGACTGGGCCAAGCACTGATCCTTGTGGAACTGAGGCAGTGATGTAATAGAGCCTTGAAAGTTCCTCCTCATACTTTACTTGGAATCTTCTTTGATCTAGATAAGATTTTAGGATCATATAGAATGAGTTTGGTAGGAGGGTTTTCAGCTTGTACAACAATCCTTTGTGCCAAACTCTATCGAATGCCTGCTGAATATCTATGAATACTGCTGAACAATATTCTTTTTTTTCTAGCGATTGTCTTATTTTGTGAACCACTCGGTGTACTTGTTCTACAGTAGCATGTTTTTCCCGGAAACCAAATTGGTGATCGGGTATAATTCTGTTTTGGTCCAGGACTGGTTTTAGTCTCCGCAGAAGAGTTTTTTCAAAAACCTTAGATATTGTTGGGAGAAGACTTATAGGCCTGTATGAGCTAGGTTCTGTTGTAAACGTAACGTATAAAAATATAAATGCTAAGTTCTCGTTAAACGTCAATTAATCAATAAAGCCTTTTCTAAATTTGTCAAAATTATTGTATTAAATGTTATACAGAGTTCCACGATCTCAGGGATGAGAGACACGCTGAATCCACTAGGCCAACAATGCTGTTGTATTTATTAATGATATGTCTAATTATTTTGAATTGACTATCCGACAGTAATACGTAAGTGTTATGGAGTAAATAACTTGTTAATAATCATTATTCAAAAAATAATACGTCACGTGCACAAAACTTCTCTTCTAGGAGGTTTTCGTCGGAGACTGTTTTGTAAAGGAATATTGACTTTTTTATGTTATGTCATGAAGGGTGCGACGCCATCTTGTTTAAGGCGTTTTGTCGGGATTTTTTAAACTTTTAAAAATAGAATTGCATTTAATCTGTATAGGTTCTATAGACACTATGCCACATGCACATATTTTATTGTTATGGCATGCATTTTTAATTTTTATGCTAATTCGAGATAGACCTTCTTATATCAAATTCGATTGTTTTTGACATAGATTTTTTGTATTACCATGTTTTATTATGATTTTTAAAAATGTATTTAAAATATTTTTTTATAATGCATTTTCGGATGGAAGGTTTTTTTAAATCGTACGTATTTCGGAGGTCTTTTTAATACTTTTTGATGGATTTTAGGTGAGTGGCTCGTCAGTGAAGTAGGGATGTTCCAAGCAGTCTAATGCTGTTAGCCGCTTCGCAGGGTCGAAGACAAGCATTCTCTGGAAAACAAAATTAATATTAGGAAACTAATTTCTGTGCTGTCAAAGGGTTTTGTCCCTTGCCCCACTACACCCCATATATTTGGACACCAAGTATCTATGAAATATTATTATTATATATTTAAGTCTTATACCGTCAGACGACTCGTTTCTAAGGCTGTATATCATTGCCCCATACCCCAGCCAGACGTTATATGACTAAATTTAAAAATTACTTCGCTTATATCCTAAACGAATGAGTTTAAAAGTAATTTTATCCTTTGCCCCATGCCCCATCCACTAAGATTACAAATGGAATCATAGATTATTCCGTCTCCACTCGGATCCAGATATCCCATACAACTATTCGTGCAATATCCCATGCCCCAAATCCTGACCTAAATAAACATATATCGTCCTATGCCCCAAATATTCACCTCACAACTCTTAGCTTTTCATGCAATGTCCCATACCCCAATACTAACCTGAATAAGATCTAGAGCCTGCAAGTGTATCCTAGGTAACACAATGGCTAAGTCCAAAGGAGGGTAGTCGGGAAAACTATCAGCCATTACCGACACATTATCCGGCCATTCGTGTTTAGGCGGCCGGCCTATTAATCTGAAATTTATTAAAGAGACATCAGTGTCATTTACGTTAGGGCCAAGTGCAGTCTATGAGAAAGGCTGGCGACGTAATCGCGAGCCTTCAGGCGTTGAGTGTCCATGGGCTTGTATGACTTTTCAGGTGCGTCTCCAACCTGTTTGCCAACCCGTTCTATAAAAAAATTATGTCGACTTCAAAAAGGTGGTTGCTATGACAAAGGCCGGCAACGTACTCGCGAGCCCTCATTCCATGGGTAGCGCTAACACTTAACATCAGGTTCTCTTCAGAAGCATCATAATATTATTTATATTTTCACGTCAAAAAATTAAAAAATAACTTTTGTATCAAGCTAATTTATGTTTCAAAAATTTGACAGATGACAGTTTCAGTAACGAAAACATTATATTATACATTATATTCACTTTAGAAGCATCACAATATGAATACACGTCAAAAAAGTAAAAATAACTAGTATCCGTTATTTTTTTTTATTGAAAAACTTAACAGATGACAGTATCATAACCAAAATAATTGTCTTCGGAACCATCATAATAAAAAAGTCAAATATAACTCCATTGTTTTTGTAAATATATCCGCTATTTTTTTTTGTAATTACTTGACAGATTCCTTGACATATGACGATTTCATAAACAAAAAAAAACCACAGTAAAACGTTAAAAAAAGGTTTTTCATTTGACAGATGACACTTTCGTAAAGAAAAAATTTTTTTACAAACTCACTTGAAAATGCAATGCAATTGATCCGAATCACACGTTCCAGGTAACAAAGGCGACCGCGTGTGCAATTGCGCGAGGACACACGCGCATGACCACACATCTACAGCCGTATTATACGAAATACCTAAAAGCACTTCCGGCGGCCTATACCACAGTGTGACCACCTGAAAAAATCGACATTACCTTAAAATTGCTTACCCTTATTATCGATACTAATATTATAAAGAGAAAAGATTTGAATGTATCTTTGTGAGGAATTGGCCCAAAAGTACTGGACCGATTTTAAAAATTCTTTCACCATTTGATTGCTACATTATCACTGATTATTATAGGCTATATTAATCGCAAGAAAAAATTAGGATCCCTACTAAAAACTACAATAATTATATCCAAGGTGTTAAAAAAAATGCCTATAAGATAGCTGTATCGCATGCGCTGCAAAACTATTGATGATAGAACAAAAAATGTTGCACAATATTAAAAGACATATCAAAATGTATAAAAAATTTCGCAATAGCATGTGTCTAACTATTGTAGTTATGTCACTATAACTGCTTTCAAACATTTTAAAATTTAATAGAAATTCCGATCAAATAAATCAGTGGCACTACAACCTCTTTAGGTCCGGGCCTCAGATTTTTGAATCTGTTTCATGATAATTTTTAAATCTAATAGGCAAGTAGGTGATCAGCCTCCAGTGCCTGACATACGCCATCGACTTTTTGGGTCTAAGACATGTCGGTTTCCTCACGATGTTTTCTTTCATCGTTCGAGCAAATGTTAATTGCGCATATGGAAAGAAAGTCCATTGGTGCACAGCCGGGGATCGAACCTACGACCTCAAGTATGAGAGTCGGTCGCTGTAGCCACTAGGCCAACACTGCTCTCAAATTCCGATCAAAATCAGACCTATTATTTTTACCTTTGCCTTTATCCATACGTAAATTAATGATAATTAAATAAATAAATGAATGTCTCAAGCAAGACTGTTTAAATACCTATAAATTACTTTTTTTAATTAAAATAATAATAATAAAGGATATTCCATTCGCAAAAACGCGCCGGAGAGCAGGAGAGGGGCACACCGCACATCTATGAAATAGCTAGAGGGCTATCTACGCATACGTAACCAATTTGAAGAAATATTTTTTTGTTTTAGCACGAGTTATATAACCTAACATTAGTTAAGTTACATATATATATATGTCGAAGCAAACTAGCTTAATTCGCCGTTCAATTAAGAGCCTAGCCGTTTAACTAGCGGCCTGAAAGATGTTCAGCCAGTTGATTAAACAGATAGGCATGGATATAAATAATGAAACCTAAGCATTAGCCAGCCAGTTTATTAAATGTTGTAACAAATGCTGCGGCTGAATATCTTTCAGGCCGTTACGTTAAACGGCGCCGTTACGTTAAACGGCGCCGTTTAGTTGAAAGGCTAGGCTGTTAATTGAACGGCTAATTAAGCTAGTTGGCTGCGAAATATATATTATAGTAAATAAATAGGAGCGCAAAATTAGCCATGTTAGCCATCATCGCACACATGGCAACAGAAACCCATGGATGGATGGAGTCTCATAAATTGTAATACAATATTCTTGTATCGATAATGTCCAAAAAGGTAGTCTGTAAAGGCCGGCAACGCACTCGCGAGCCCTCTGGCATTGAGAGTGTCCATGGGCGGCGGTATCACTTAACATCAGGTGAGCCTCCTGCCCGTTTGCCCCCCGTTCTATAAAAAAAAAAAAAGTAGGCTTCACTTGTATTGAAGTGTCGCTTAGATGTATTACTCTTACATGAGCCAAAATAGTTTTTGTTAGCGTCGCAAACCTTAATTCTAAATCATTAAAGCCAGTTGTTACCCAGCTTCAAACAAAGAGTTTAATTTAGACATCTCCACACAAAATCGCCACCAAACATAATCAGCCGCAGCATTTTCAGACCTACTAAGTGCTTATTACCAGTTCTCATTAGAACTACGTTCATATGTCAACCTTCCAATTAAAAAGTTCGTTTCAGAACTACTTATAAATTACTTTATTCAAACATTTATATAAATAGAAACAAACAATATTCCTAGATAAAGAAAGTCGCAAAAATACGTCGCATAAGAGAATCTTCTTCTGAAAATTCAGATCGTTTCGTAAGTCAGAGAGAGTACATATCGCAATAGCAAGTCAGAGAATCAAGCACCGAACGTTCGCAGCGCGTTGCTGAAAAAACAGACAGAATCTCACGAGCACGTTAAAGGGAATCTAACGCTGAACACTAGCAAAGCCTCGCTGAGAATAGAGTTAAAAAATAGCAAAGGCGTGCACGGGTATCTAGCGCGGAACGCTCGCAGCGGCTTATTATATTATAGCGGCTTATGGCACAGAGAGATAGGCAACAGTTTCAAATCAAATCAAAATACGTTTATTCAGTTTAGATGCGTCTTAGGGCATGCTTATGAATGTCAAAAACGTTTAGAAAATTCGCGAAAGAGCAAGACTACGCCATCCGTTCGCAAAACTACCAGGAGGCCTTGTTCTGAGAAGAACGGGCAGGAAACTCGGCAAGTTTGCCCTCCCTTTACATTACAATTATTCAAAGGAAAATGTCATAAGCCACAACGTCATTAAAGTTACATAAATAAAAAAAAATGTGACGTGTGTAATGGTAAACCACATTCACCATTACACACGTTAAGAACTAGGCGGCATTCAGCTACGATCCACAAATTGATTATGCTCTTATGTACTTATAGGCATAAAATCTCTTATATTATCAGAAACAATTGCTTTCTTAATCATATGATCACACAACATAATATGAGTATTTTCTAATTATTATGCCTATACTCGGTGAAATGTTTTTAAAAATTACCCATTGATGTCATTTATTATGTTATCATTTTGTTTTCTTCGAGTACCCAGGAGCCAGCGATATACTATTGCTAAATACATTATTATTTAGGTATGTCCTGCATTTGTACAGTTGCATTGCTGCTGCATTTGTGCAGTTTATAATATAAATTAACATTGGATCGCCAAGGCATTCAACCCTCCTTGAACCCTGAGAGCCTTTTTTAAGGGTGTTTGGGGGTGAGATGTATTTAGTGGGTAAAGTCTCGCTACCTTGAATAGCAAAAGGCTGGAGTAGACCCAACCTCATAGTCCTCGGGTTGCGTAAGCGCATCCCAGACAATCAACACGTAAATATCATTTGTTTACTAGCATGTAACGTAACAGGGCCGACGCCATCTTGTTTAAAAGCGTTGGCATATGTGTGTGTGTAAATTCTATATTCTATGGTTTTTAACTTATCACAAAAACCTTACCACGCTAGTAAGCTTCATATCCGTGTCGTATGTCTTAGCTAGACCAAAATCCGCGAGCTTGACACGACCTGATGATGTCACCAGAAGATTGTGGGGCTTCAGATCCCGATGGACTATGCGATGCGAATGAAGGAAGTCCGTCCCTGACAGTATATCATAGGACATGCTCTGAAAATACAGGAAATTATCAACCCTCAACCCTGAGGTGTCCCGAGAGTGCAGAATCCCGGGTGTGCACCAATGGACTTTCCATGTGCGCATTGAATATTAGCTCATATGAAGGAAAACATCGTAACGTACCCTAATCCTATTATCCCCGAGTGGTCCAGGTGCCTTCTTCAAATACGACTCCAAATCCTGCTCAACATGTTCAAAAACCAGGAACAGTACCAGCTGACTCTCACGTTCCAACGACTGACCACCATGGCAGACGTCGAGTAACCTGTAATGAGGGTGAAATGGCTTAAAAATACCGAATAATAATGATAAGTTGAAAAAAGAAAAGAGAACAGATGAAGACAAATTATGGCCTAAGCCTCCACAGACTCCTTCCATATTAATGCTATACACCTGCCGTGGCCTGGACCTACTGGAAAGAGATCTATAGGACAACAAAAGAAAAGATGGACAGATGACATTATAGAACTGGCGGGGGAAAACTGGATGAATTTTGCTCAAGACAAAGAGAAATGGAATAATATGGAGGAGGCTTTTACTCTTAAAGGGGCCATACAAAAACTAGACCACTAAAATAAATCTAACTTAATTTTTTTTTAAACTCATACTAACACAACTAATACTAAGAAATGTAAACAAACCAATTGTTGTATGGATTAATAAAGCTTTAAATAAATAAATACACCTGCCATAGATAAAGTGGCGTTTCACTGGCCATTGGGGGTTCCTTTTGCCATGGCCAGAAGTCAAAAAGCATAAAAATTTACTCTGGAAATGCGTTCACAGGATGTGGGCTGTTTCAATATACAATGATTTTTATGGAAAAGTATGGCAGACACTTATTCCAGTTCCTACTTTATAGAATTTTAAAGCAGTTTTGATGCTTGAGGACTTCCACATGGTAACTTTAATTTGCAGTCATAATAATACCTGACAATATTAGGATGTCGATAAGCCTCCAATTGTCTCAATAGCGCAATCTCTCTTAACGTTGATAATGGTATTCCATCTTCGGTTAATGCAACTTTAACTTTCTTCATAGCAACTATTTGACCACCGTTGTGAAGATCACGTGCCTTGTATACTGTTCCATATGCACCTGGAATTTAGATTTGAAGTTAACAGTATAGTTCCATATGAATATAACATTCAGTAATCACAGAAGCCCGAACACCTACTTTTCTTCAAGTATGAGGATTTTTCAAAAGCAATATTTAAATAGTTTAAACATATTATACAAAAACAGCTGAAAGTATTAACGGACTTTTTATTAAAGAAAAGTTACAATTTGGAAATCATTCATAAGTATGAATGTATAAGGTCATGAAACAGTGGGCTAATCAATTTTAAATAAAGCATTGTTAAGTGCCTATCTGATGAATGAATCCACTATTTTACTAGTATTTTTTATTACTAGTAAAATAGTAAAATTTGAAATTGGAAGAGTTATATTTTTTATTTATTGTAACATTTATGTATACAAAAATTGTCATGTATTTTAGAAAATATAGGTTGTAACATAGCTGTATACTATAGATATTGCATTATATATGATGTGGTGAACTTCAATAAATAAACAGTTATTTAAAATATTTTTTGTTGTTAACATTATTGTATAATTAAATTTAAGTAATAGATCATAGAAGCAGGTAGTCAACATATTTAAAAAACTAATGTATCATTGTTTTATATGATTAAATTATCTAAACTTCCTATATTATCATAATGCTTAAAACTAAAGTTTATTAAAGCATTGTTTACTAAATAACTAAAATGCGCGTGAGTTGCCGGCACATGGCTGTTAAAAAGGTTATAATAAACAAAATAAATTGCACTCACCCGTGCCGATTACATTTAATTCTTCATACTTTTTAGCTGTTTGAAATAAAGCACTGACATCATTAATTGATGCCATATTTGGTATATTACTTGGTCCAGACATTGTGAAATCCAGTTTTTTAACAAATTAATAATACAATATCTCGTAAAATCATTCACGCAAAACAGCCGAGTTTAGTATATGGAAACTTACATCGTACCAAACAAGTTTTAATAAACAAAACTTAAACAGAAACTAAAATAGTTTTCACAAGGACAAAATGTCGTTAAGTTTTGTTTGGAGGGGTGCCGGGGGTCCGGGGTATGCAAGTCGCAAGACGCAAGTTACAAAACACCTGGCGTGTAATGCGACTAATTTGAATTTAATGTTCCCATAGTGAATCATATGAATTCAAGGAACATTTTTATTTGTAGCATAATACTTCACATATTTTGCTTTATTTTGGGCAAATGACATCTAGTCACAACATGCTGAACTAAGAGAAGCAATGATGTTCTCTTAAATATTGCACTTTTCGATTGCGTTTAATATAAATTACCTATGTTTATTTAAAAATGTTTCATATAACAGTAAAAATAAATCGAAAAATATTTATATTGTTTTCCAATAAAATTTTCGTATTTTCTGAACTAATATGATAATAATTACGGCTATCAAAATATTATCTCGGTCAATAGGAAATAGTATTAAATTAAAATTTAAATGTTATTTAATATTAACATCGAACATTAGGTAAATAGGTAAGGAAAATACTACAATTAAGCGGCATCTAGTTATTATAAGTATTATTATTATTATTATTTTTTTTATGGCTCTGGCACGATTTGTGCATTAGCCAGCGTCAAGTATAGGACTTTTTATAATTCGTGCTCGTCTTTTAGAAATTCGACAGTGCCCTTTATGTACGGTTTAAGCACTCGCCCGGTACCGCACAACCCTCCCAAAGGCCGAGAACAAATTTGAATTAAATTAAAACTTGCCCTCGAACCGGGAATCGAACCCGGTACCCCTCACCTAGCTGCCACTTAATAAGACCGCTAGGCTATGAGTATTTTAAACAGACTAAAAACCAACGAAATATTTTATTCGATTCGTACCTATGTTTTATTTTTTCGTATTTCACACCTAAAACTATATGACACTCATTTGAGTCAAAATGAACTGCTTGCGGGTACAAATGATTGGAAGGTATAGAAGAAAGTAACTTCTCAGAATTACTTGACCATTTTAAAAGATCAAACCCACCAGCTGAAAACATTTTAATAAGTTGAGAGGTACTTCAACTGCTTCGGGAATCGAATCGCAACTACAGCAAATATCGTCCATATAATGATTACCGCGATCAATAACGTCAGCGCAAAATGCGATAGGGAACGTTTTAAACCGAAGTAGAACTGCAAATAAGTCAGGCTGTAAGAAGGGACCGACATGTAAAATATCATTAATTGACATGTTATTTTCAGTCTTCGCGCTGGAATCTAGTACCATTCTGACTTTGGTGCTTATAGATGACTCACAAATTACGCCGTGATGTAGAATAATATAATCCTATATTGTCGCGCCGATCTACTATAGGAGAAATATAATCCTTTTCCAGATATTCAATGAATATTTTGTCATATGCCTCGCGATAAGTAGGCGATGACTGTAATTTCCGTTCGAGTGACATGCCTATGAGTTAGTATAGTTAAGTATTCAAAATTAACTGTATAAAAATAAGAAAATAAAATGAAATATCAACAATACGATTAAATTCAACAATAAACAGATTTATTACGAACGTTAACTGTGAAACAATTTTTAGAAAAAAGTGATGTAGGTAGATATTAATTACTCATGATCATTCTCACCAAATCTGGCACAATATATTATTAAATACGTAAATACGAAATACGTAAATACGGAATACATAAATACGAAATACGTAAATACGAAATACGTAAATACGAAATACGTATTACGATTACGTATACTATTTATAAATACATATAATATTTAAAAAATCTACATTAAACTTGTCGTTATACAGGTAAGAAAATGCCTACCGTCAATTTCACCTAATGAAAAAAAATTGAAAAAAATACGAAAATAAATATGCCTAACTAAGAGATATGATACATATACGGCTCGAGAAGGACCAAAAAAGATGTGTGGGCCTGGGTATCCGGAAGATGTATCCAGGATGCTCCCTTCCCTCGGTAAAATAATATGCGCTGGTTCGGATGTCGCGTGTCAGTATAATAAAAAAAGGAATCCAACAATCGATCAGCCTAAGACTAGCACTTACAAGCCGTCGGAAATATCTGCGAACCTCGCTGGAATGCGCTTCCCCTGGCGCCCCCGCACCCCGCCCCGTTTTCGCCTATCCAGTACCGTTGCCAACGCAATCGCCGACGCCGCACGTGTATTATTCTTGCTTTCGTAATCGCATTTTAGTGTTTATTGTTTCTCTGTTTGGTGAAATATTACATAAACTACCTATTTAGTGCTGTATGTAAGATGGGTAGGTACGAGTATCAATAAAAATAAGTACACAAATAAAATATTTTTTATTTTTACATCTTCAATTTTTTTGCTATCTCTCCAGTTTGTATGACGTCATTAAGCCAGGTTCGCAGATATTTCCGACGACTTGTACCATGGTGGTGTATCCCACTCCAAGCACTGAATCCTTAAAATGGTGAATATAAATAAATACGGTACGGTTTGCGGTATATCTTAAGTACGCACGCGACGGCGGTTAAAATTTTCCTATCCCTGCGCCATCATGCCGGAATGACACCTACCATCTCCGGTTCGTGTGTCAAAGTCAAAATTGACAATTGTCATCCTTTTGACTGACACCGATTTAGCGCAAACAGTACTTCATTAATAAGTTAAATTTGTAACTGGAAATTTAATTATTTCTTATGCTGTTCTTGATATTTCAATTACTTCTACATATTAAGAAGGTCATATTATCTAAGTTAGTTACATATAAAACAAAAGTCTTGTTCAAAAAGTTCATCAAGCGGGCTCGTCCGGGATTTGAACCCGGGACCTCTCGCACCCGAAGCGAGAATCATACCCCTAGACCAACGAGCCATATCGAAGGAAGTTGAAATTAATGTACACCATACGTATACGACTTCAACTGTTTAAATATAATTGCTATATTGTTTTTATGTTTGTATATTTAAGATCCACCAATCTATATTATGTATAAAAATGAATCCCTATTTCCCTTGGTCACGGCATCACGCGTGAACGGCTGGACCAAATTCCCTAATTCTTTTTTTGTTGTGTTTGTTATTGTCAGGAGAAGGTTCTTATGAAAAAAAAAATAAGAAAATTGCGCGGAAAATTAGAACATTTAAGAATACTTAACCACCATACAAATCAAACTTTTTTGATGTAACCTTATGGCGTTTGATATAACATTGACATAATGCGTGCTGCAAATATCGGCAAAGAAAACAAAGGCTTCGATCGGAGTTTTTATATTCATAAAATACATATAAAATAATAATCAATAAATTTATTTAAAAAAGTTAAAATATCTAATAGACTATACTCATAACTAGATCAGCACACTACATCAAAAAAGTTTTAGAAAGGAAGACAAGAAGAAACTGTACGAGTTAATATGTAGGTATATAATATCTTTATACATATAATTCTGCTGAACGTGTGTATGTCACTGAACTCTTCTTAAACGGCTGGACCGATTTGAATGATTTTTTTTTGTTTGCGTTTGGGTGACGCCCTGGGTGGTTTAGATTCACAAATCAGCCCAGCAGATGGCGCTGCAGTCGGTACTATCATATTTTGTTAAATATACTAATCGCTTGAAATATAATGCAGGACAACGTCTATCGGGTCCGCTAGTAAGTAATAAATACAATAAATTTCATTTATAATTATAAAATTAGTTTGAAAATCAGTTTCCTGCAAAACCTATGTTTAACCGGGAGATCTTCATACCTTTTTTTTATTACAATCAAATCAAATATAATGAGTAAAATAAAATTCAGTATTATCCATGAATAAAATTAAAAAAGAGAATGAGGTGATAATAACCTATATTTTTTGTGTACTAGATTATATATTATGTACTAATGTATTTTTGGCATAACATGATATTCAAGCCCCGAATAAATAAATGTTTTGCCTAAAAGCAATCAATAGAAATAAAAATATTGATACTTTTTAGTGCATTAATTATAGGGAAATTTGTAGTTACAGCTAAATTACATTAAATTTATAAGTAAGCATTTAGTAGTAGGTATTATATGTGTAAACTACCCTTTAATTAAAAAAACTAAAGTCGTAATCGCATTGTAACCTCCTTTGATTTATAATTCGTTAAAAAGTCACGAAAAAGATATATTATCTATTTGTCAAGATTATTACTTACTGTATTCTGTGCTTCTATCTAATTTTTTTTATTTTTATTAATAATTATTTAACGTTACTCAAGAACAGATACTTACGTATCTTTACAATGCCAATTATAATAACTTTGAATAATGTATGTACTTATGGCTTGATTTCTCATGTATAGCTTATATTCACTATTAATTCATAATTAATCTTAGTGCAAAAGTTTTTATAAAAAAGTTTATCAAAAATAATATAATTTCTTATTAAATATTTATGGCACAAACGTAAAAGTAAAACTATATTAAGTACACCTCTTGGTATTCAGATTTTATTAAAAATAAATGGTGATTTTGAAATTTAATGTCTATATTTCCGTAAAGAAATATTTTTTCAAAGAAAACATACCTATATGTAACGTCATAGTTTTTAGAAAGTTGAACGGAGAAAAAAATTACCGCTACACGGCACCCTATATCTATCCTTATTACTCCAACGCATCGTCTATGATTTGTCTCTTTCCGACAGCATAACATTCATTTTAAAATCAGTCTCTGTTAGTTTCGTATGCGTGCGCCGGTCAACATGGCGGATGTGTTTAAAATGTCAATAAATCAATAATTATAAACTATTTAAATATATAATAACATAATAAACATTAACAACGAATAATTGTGTCAAATTAAGTGTGTTTATAAGTTTGTAACAATTGTGCAAGCGGAACTCATGGTGAAAGTTTGTGA